ATGTCACCACAATCTCTCATGTACATGCACCGAATTTAGGTGCTTGGGCCCAAACACACCGAACCCTACCGATTCGATATGTGCCTGTTCAGCGTTTTCATTTATTTAATGAATTACCGATTTATATTGATCGCCGTCAGGCAGAAGTAGATTTCATTTTAGATCAACTCAAGATTGATATTGAGCATCGGGCTATTTTGGAAGCCAATGGCGGTGCCACAGTTTGGGGGCGTCAAGGTCTACAGGAAACTGCTGAATTTATTTTATTGCTTGAAGAAGGTGCTCAAATTCAACTGTTAGCAGAATTGGTTGGAGGAAGTCGTGAATATGGGCAAGGGGTATTACAGCAACAGTGGAAAATGAGCGGATTGACTGAAAAAGCAAAATCACTGGGATTACTTCCACTCCATTAGAAACATGATTTAAAACAAATATAGAGAATATTATGGCTGTAAAACTTTTATGGTATCTCACCTCTCCTGATGGTCCCTATCCTTGGTTGGAGTCGGGACGCTGGGATACCGATTATGAACATTTGCAACAAATTGCAATTACCGCAGATCGTCTGGGGTTTTACGGTTCGCTCATGGGTACAAGTGAGTATGAAACACTGGCGGTTGCCGCGAGTTTAATTCCTTTTACTGAACGCCTGAAGTTTTTGGTCGCACAGCATCCAGGTGAAGTTCAACCCGCAGTTTTAGCCAAATATGCACAAACTTTTGATGCCTTTTCTCAGGGACGTTTGTTGTTTAATGTGGTCAATGGCAATGATCAGGGACTTGCCGCTTTGGGTATTCATTATTCACATGATGAACGCTATGACTTTAGTAAAGAATACTGGAGCACATTTCAACAGAATTATTTAGGCGATAAATCTGGTTTTCAGGGTGAGTTTATTCAAGTGGCTCCACGTCAAGAGGGTGCTTCACCGATGTCAAAATGGCATGGGGCAACCCAAAAACAAGGCGTACCGCTGTGGGGAGCTGGCACATCAGCGAAAGGGGTACAACATTCAGTGGAATTGCTGGATGTGTATTTAAGCTTTGCCAACACACCGCCGTTGCTGGGAGAAAAATTCAGTAAGGTTGCAAAAGAAGCCGCTAAAGTTGGGCGAACTTTGCAGTATGGAACTCGCTTACAAATTATTGTTCGTGAAACCGAAGAAGAAGCGTGGCAATACGCGCAGTCTCTACTCGATAAAATTGATGTGAATTATGCGATTGAAGCAGTAAAACGTCAGCTTCCACCCAATGAATCTTTTGAAAGCTATCAAAGTAATAACCCGATTGTTCAAAAAAATTTAGAACGCTTACGTCAGGGGATATTACCTCAAGCTAAAGATTTTGAAATTTATCCAAATATTTGGACAGGGCCATCACTGTTTGGTTTTGATATCTTAAATCCCGCTGCGGGGACCGCATTGGTCGGGAGCGCTGAAAATATTGCTCAACGTATCCAAGAATATGAAAGCTACGGTACATCTGCATTTATTTTGTCGGGTTTTCCTTTAATCACTGAAGTTTACCGTGTTGCAGACTTGTTGTTTCCTTTACTTGAGCTCGATCATGGTTTTGAGTTACCGAAGTTAAAAAATCGCTCCTCTGTAGATTCTCTGTTGAATCAAGAAACTGTGGTTTAAAAGGAGAATCCTATGAGTAAAATTACGCGCAGAGCATTAATTAAAAATACTGGTTTAGGTCTAGGTACGATTGCAGCAGCAAGCCTGATCGGGTGTTCTCGTTCCGATTCCTCAGCATCAAATGAAGCTGCTACACATACAAGCCAGCATACCACACCGCAAAAAGGTGGAGTGATCAAAATTGGGGTGATTAATGGTAATCAAGCTGGAAATTTAGATGCCCATAAGCCGATTGGAATGTCGAGTGCCTTTAGAGGTTGGCCGTTATATGCCAAATTATGGGAGTGGGGGCGAGATATTCAACCTAAATTGGCGCTTGCTGAATTTGCAGAACCCAATGAGGATGGCACTAAATGGACGATTCGGCTAAAGAAAGGGCTTGAGTTTCATCATGGTAAAACCATTACAGCTGATGATGTCATTTTCTCTTTACGTCGTTTGACCGATCCTAAACTGGCGTCTCCCTTTGCTGCTTATCTGTATTCATTGCAGCGCGATGCGATTAAAAAGCGTGATGATTACACCGTTGAAATTCCATTTGCTCAAGGCAAAGGCTTAGTAGCCCTACCTGAAGCATGGATGAGTTGGGGCGGTATTGTTCCAACAGATTATGACCCAATCAAGAATGTCGTCGGAGCAGGCCCGTTTAAGCTGGAAAGTTTTACCCCAGGTCAACGTTCCCGTTTCGTACGTTTTGAAAATTATTGGAAAGACAATCAGCCTTATGCAGATGCCATTGAAATTATAGATTTTAAAGACCAAACCGGGCGTCTTGCTGCTTTGCAATCAGGGCAAATTGATATTGCATCGGGTATTAGTGCCGAGCATTTATCTTTGATTCAAGCCAATAAACGACTGAATGTTGTTTCATCTGAAACAGATGCTTGGCAATCCTTTGACATGAATACCACTAAAGCACCGTTTAATGATCCTCGTGTCAGACAAGCATTTCGTTTGATTGCCAATCGGGATGATTTAGTGAAACGGGCATTGGCGGGACAAGGGCGAATTGCCAACGATCTGTATTCATTTAGTGATCCTGTTTATAACCATGAAATTCCACAGCGTAAGCAAGATTTAGCCAAAGCTAAAACACTATTAAAAGCCGCTGGTTTTGATCAAAACTTAAAAGTTGATTTATATACAGGACCAGATAGCAATGCCGCCTTGGTGTTTGCGCAACATGCAGCGCAAGCTGGCGTGATCGTAAACGTTAAACAAGTTGAAGCTGCAACATTTGCAGATGCAGTCAAACAAGATTGGGCATTGAGTACAGGTTCAAATGTTTCTCGTCCATTTTTATTGACGGTATTGCAGATTGATGGACCCGGTGCAGCCAATAACAAAACCCGTTTTAATCAAGCCCGTTTTACTGAGCTGGTGCATCACGCATTGCAACAGCCTGATCTGGAAAAACGCAAAGTTCTGGTGCATGAGGCACAGCAAATTCAGCATGAACAAGGTGGCTTACTGATTTGGGGTTTTAACAATGTTTTAGATGCACATTCTCATCAGATTGGTGGTGTAACACCTGATCGAACCGGTTTTGCAGCATGGCGAACTGATGAGTTTTGGCGTAAAGGGGAGTGATGATGACGACTCAAGCCAGCAAAATTGAAAGCTCGATTCAACATCCAGCTATCGCCAAGTCGTTTGAATTTCCTGCATGGTTACCTTGGTTTTTGACCCGTATCGTGTCAGGAATTTTGGTGATTTTTGTGATTAGTTTAATTGTATTTATCGCGACTCAAGCGCTTCCATCTGACCCTGCGCGGGTCATTTTAGGGCCAGAAGCACCAGAAGCTACGGTTCAAATACTGCGTGAACAATTGGGGCTGACTCAACCGATATTGGTGCAATACTGGAATTGGCTGACTCAATTATTACAAGGTAATTTTGGACGCTCAATTGATTCTAATGTACCTGTGTTACAGATTATTCAAAACTATTTTGGTAATACGCTTGCTTTGAGTAGCTTGGTGGTGGCAATCACTGTACCGATTTCAGTTTTACTTGGGGTTTGGTTATCGCTACGTCGTGATAGCAAACTAGACCGAATCATTGTATCTAGCTCGATTATTTTTAAAGCAGTGCCCGGATTTGTCATTGCCATTTGGCTAATGATGTTATTTTCAACTTCGATCTTGCATGTATTACCCGCTGCATCATTGCTGATTCCTGGGCAGTCTCCGTTTAGCCAGCTAGAGTTTTTAATTTTACCCATTTTAACGTTAGCTTTATCGCTTATTCCTTATCTCATGCGTCTTGTGCGAGGCTCAATGATCGATGCCTTAGAGTCTGATTATGTCACTTCAGCACGATTACGCGGTATTCCAGAGCGTCGCATTATCTGGAAGCATGTTTTGCCTAATGCTTTAGTGCCCGTGGTACAAGGCACGGCATTGACTATACGGGTTTTACTCAGTGGGGCTTTAATTATCGAGGTTGTATTTAGTTATCCCGGAATTGGCAATGCATTGAATGCAGCAATTGAAATGCGGGATATTCCTACCATTCAAGCGATTGTTTTATTGCTGACCATCTGTGTGGTGGTGGTCAATTTAATTGCAGACTTAATGACCACTTTACTCACACCGAAAATACGCACTGCAAAAAAACATAAAGCCCGTTCACCTGGTTTACGTCAGGCATTGCGTTTATGGAAGTCTGGCCGACCGATTACGGTAAAGCCTGTCGATCGCCGTAATGCCTTGAAGAATATCAATTCAGGAGAGGGGAAATGAGTACACTTCATTGGTATCAACGTAAGTTTTTTAAAGCCTTGATTTCTGAGCGACAAGTCCGTTTTGGTTTTGTGGTGACAAGCTTAGTTTTGATATTTGCGCTTATTGGCCCAGTGCTGGTTCCTTTTGAACCAACTGCATTAGTGGGTATGACCTATGGTGCGCCTGAAGCACAGGCTTTTCTTGGCTATGACTATATTGGGCATGATGTTTGGTCCCGTGTATTAGCGGGTGGTGCTTCAATTATTTGGATGACCCTCGCTGCCAGTCTGGTGGCTTTAATTATTGGTTCCAGTTTAGGCATATTGGCTGCTTTTGCACGAGATAAAGTTGACCAGTTTGTGACTTGGCTTACCGATGTTTTTATGGCATTTCCTGATCTGATTTTAGTGCTATTAATCGTTTCGATGCTAGGGCGTGAGCCATGGCTGATTGTGCTCACTGTTTCGATTGCTTTTATTCCTGGGGTAGTACGTCTTGCACGAAGTGTTGCGCTAAATTTGGTTGAGCAAGAGTATGTAGAGGCCGCCAAAATTTTAGGTTATTCGAAAAGCTATATTTTATTCCGTGAAATCCTACCCAATATGCTGACACCCTTATTAATTCATCTTGGGGTGATGTTGACGTGGGCTGTTGGCATGTTATCTGGTCTGGCTTTTCTTGGTTATGGTATCGCACCTCCTGCAGCCGATTGGGGCCTGATGATTAATGAAAATCGTGCTGGGTTATTGGTTCAACCGTGGGCAGTATTTGCACCGGTGATTTTAATTGCTTTGTTTGCGCTGGGAACCAATGTGTTGGCTGAAGGTGTAGGGCGTGCCGCAGCGCGGATTGAGGAAAAGTAACCATGACAGAGATTTTAAAGAATACGGTACTACAGGTAAAAGACTTAACGGTGGCATTGGTCAACACAGGCAATCATGTAGTTTCGAATATTTCTTTTCATTTAAACGAGGGCGAAGTCCTTGGGTTGGTGGGAGAAAGTGGTTCAGGTAAAACCACATTGTCGAGTGCGTTATTGGGCTATGCACGACATGGTGCCAAAATTATTCAAGGCACAATTGCGCTGGATGGACAAGATATCCTCAGTCTTGACGATCACGCCTTGCGTCAAATTCGAGGTTATAAAATCAGTCACGTTGCCCAAGATCCGGGAACGGCACTAAATCCAGCATTAACAATTGGACAGCATCTACTTGAGTTATTAGAAGTCCATCAATCACGCTTATCCAGTAGTGAAAGAAATCATAAAGTTGCTAAAATTTTAGATGAAGTGGGATTGCCTCAGGATGATGTGTTTTTAAAACGCTATCCTCATCAGCTTTCCGGCGGGCAACAACAACGGATTTTATTAGCATTGGCATTTTTGTTACAGCCTCGCTTAATTGTCTTGGATGAACCGACAACAGCATTGGATGTTACAACCCAAACTTTAGTGCTAAATATTATTCGTAAATTATGTCGCGAATATAATGTTGCAGCAATTTATGTATCACATGATTTGACTGTGGTGAAAGATATTGCAGATCGCGTAATCGTCCTGTATTCAGGCCAGATTGCAGAAGATGCCGCATTAAGTCAGTTATTTGAAACGCCAAAACATCCTTATACTCAAGGTTTACTCAATGCCATCCCCGATGTGTCGATTCGTAAATATTTATCCCCCATCGAAGGACATGCACCCTCACCGAATGACCGTCCAACAGGATGTGCCTTTGCCGCAAGATGTACTTTCGCTAGCGAATTATGTCATCAACAGCAACCGAAATTAACCCTGTTATCTCAAGGAGTTGATCCACATTTTGTTGCTTGTCATCATTGGGATGAAATGGGTGTGATCAATTTTCAAGAGCTTGATCCGCATCTGATTGAATTAAAAACAGATCAACAGGCACTGCTTAAAGTAGAACATATCAATGCTTGGTATGGCCAGCAACAAGCACTTTTCGATGTTTCTTTTCAAATACAGCGTGGAGAATGTTTGGCCTTAGTCGGGGAGTCTGGTTCAGGTAAAACCACACTGTCTAGAGTGATTGCAGGACTGAATGAAAATGCAGAAGGTCAGGTGATTTTAGCAGATGAAGTATTGTCCTTGCAGGGACAAAAACGTCAGTTAACACAACGACATAAACTGCAGTATATCTTTCAAAATCCATATAAAGCCTTGAATCCAGCACATACCATAGGACAGACACTCACTAAAGTGGTTCAGCACTTTTTTGCTACATCTCAGCAAGAAACTCAACAAAAGGTCGTTCAGGTACTTCAACAAGTATCGCTTCCTCCACAGGTTCAAGAACTCTACCCAAGAGATTTATCTGGCGGAGAACGGCAACGTGTAGCGATTGCACGAGCGCTGTTATGTCAGCCTGATGTTTTGATTTGCGACGAAATTACTTCTGCTTTAGATGTGTCAGTACAAGCATCTATTTTAAAACTGTTGCAACAACTGCAAAAGCAAGGCGTAACTTTACTTTTTGTGACCCATAACCTTGGGGTAGTTCGAGCAATTGCTGATCGAGTTGCCGTTTTAAAAAATGGCCATCTGGTGGAATACGGTGAAACCGATCAAGTACTGAGTCATCCGCAACATGGGTATACCAAAACTTTGCTCACACATGCACCCAGCTTATTTAAGACTACAGCACAGCGTATCTGTGCATAAAAAACAAGAGATTTTCCGGAGTTAAAATGAACGATATTCAGCAACACAATTTTTTAGAATTGGGCAGTATAAGACATATTCAAAGTGAACAAGAAGCATTGGATATTGCCAAGGCAGTAGCAAAACAACTGACTGAATTTGCTCAAGATCCTCAATATAACAAAAGTGTTCCTTATGAACAGGCCCGCTTAATTTCAGAAGCAGGTCTGACAGCGATTATTGTTCCTCAACAATTTGGTGGTTTAGGCGCAAGTATTACTACTTTGGTTAATGTGGTAAAGATCATTTCATCTGCAGATGGTGGTGTGGGGCAACTTCTACAAATCCATTTCACCATGTTTCGAGGAATTTTAACGGGTTATGAGGATGATATTCGCGATCAATTATTGCGTGATGTATTGAGTGGTAAACGTTTAGGCAATGCACTCGCAGAAGTGGGCGGAAAAGATAAATTTCAGCATAAGACCCGTGTAGAAAGAAATTCACAAGGGCAGTTAATCTTAAATGGCAGTAAATTTTATTCCACAGGCTCTTTATTGGCCGAGTGGATCTCTTTATTTGCAGGCAGTGATGATGGACCTGTTTCGATCTTGATTCATCGTGATACGCATGGGGTAGAACTGCTCGATGATTGGGATGCAATGGGGCAAAACAATAGTGTCAGTGGCACAGTCAATTTTAAAGATGTTGTTGTCGATGAACGTTATGTTGCCAAGCGCAATACTGGTGGTTTAGGGACAGTGCTACGCACAGGTTTAACTTGGCCTCAGATTTTGCATGCAGCTATGGATACAGGTATTGCTAAAGGTGCACTTGAAGGGGGGATTGATTATTTGCAACAGAATGCTCGTCCTTGGGTGGAAAGTGGTGTCGACTCCCCGACACAGGAACCGCATATCATTAAGCAAATTGGCGAGTTTGCAGTTTTGGTCCGTTCAGCAGAAGCACTTTTAGATCGCTCAGCAGCGATTTTTGAGCAACATTTAACCAATCTGGAAGATGAAGCCTTACAAACTGAATTGATTTTATCTGTGGCTGCCACACGGAGTCAGTCAGACCATGCATCTTTGAAAATTTCCAGTGAAATTTTTGGCTTACTTGGAGCAAGCTCTACTTTGTCAAAATGGAATTTAGATCGTTTCTGGCGTAATGCTCGTACACATACCACACATGATCCGATTCGTTGGCGTTTATATCATGTTGGAAATTATTATTTAAATAATATTCCACCTGGTGAATATAACTCTGTGCTTTTAAAGAAACAGGCTGAAAATGTGACCAAATTTAAGTCATAATTTGAGTTCGACAAAAATATGCTATTCGGAAACCTCATCCACAACTGTTTGAGGCAGTACTTAATCGCATATTTTTTTCGGTGAGAAGCAGCGTTTTGTGCGTTGAGAATAGTCAGAAGCTTTTGTATAGGCGATGCCTTAAATTTGGAAGCTGAAAAATAAAAGGTTGTCATCACGACAACCTTTTATTTTTTCGTATTGTTAAGCCACTTGTGCATGAATAGCAATGTCTTGTGCTAGCCATTCACGAACATTGATTTGAGCTGGAATAAACTTCCAGCGATAGAGAAAGTCACTAAGGTCTTGTAAGGCAATAATCGATGTTTCATCAAAATTGGTATTCAGCTTGAGATGTGCATCTGCGCCATAAGCTGCATGGACCCATTGTTCACTGCTATTACATTCTTTAGCCAGATAGCGGTGAGTTTCATCTGCATGCACATGCGCCCATTGTTCAGCTTGTAAAACCGCATCGACGATGGATTGAGCTTGTTGTGGATATTGCGATAGAAAATCTTCATCCACAGTTAGTGTTCGAGGGGTACCATTATTTGAACGTAGGATAGGGTCGGGATGTGAACCAATATCAATAATGGTATGCAGGGCAAAATCATGGGCAATTTGTGCTGCATGTGCGCCTTTTAAAAAGATGGCATCGACATCCCCTTTGATTAAAGCCACAATCTCTGCACTTGCGCTCAGTTTATTACGATTGCTAAAGAAACTCGCATCATTTTCTTCGGTATGATTTTGCTGTTGCGCCACTAATATATCAGCACGCAGACAATCCACCAGTTCCAGATCACTGACCTTAAGATTTACTGTTTTTAATGCATTTTCTAAACCGCGAATGGCTTGAGCACGAGAGAAATCGATGATGGCATCTTGATTCAGTGGGAGCCCAAAGCGTTTACCTTTTAGATCCTCAACCGTCTTAATTTGGGAATCATATCGAGTCAGCAGTAATTGGACTTCATCTGCCCAAGATAAACCGATGACTTTGGTTTTTTGTCCAGAAGCATATGCCCAAATTGCAGGAATACTGCCACCATGCCGAACTGAATTGGCAAGGGTATGGTTAAAATGTGAGTTACGAACCTCTTTTGAGTTCGATTCACGAATTGATTTAATTTCAATTTGTTGCTCAATAAATTTTTCTTTTAGCCAGCCTTTTTGAATCGAGATTCCGAGCCCTGTAGGAACTGGACAGCGTGTATACCAAAGTGTATTTAATGGTTGCGTTTGAAGTGTTGTCATTGTGACATCCTGTTGTGATTTGAATGCTTTAAAGCAATATTGATGCCATTGTTTAACTTGTTGATATTTAAAATATATTTTTAATATCTATTTTTATGATGTTGATATATCAAATATTGTTGCAATAACAACAGATAACAAGTGCGGATGTTTTAAATCAAACATCTCATCAAACATGTTTTTTAAAAAAATAATATAAAACAGTGGATTAAAATATTTATGCCTTTGAAAAATTTGGCATAGATCTCGCAGTGAGCTATAGATCTTTAGTTGTTGTTTTATTTTTATGTTTAAAAATTATCCACTGCTGCGAAGTTTGGCCTTATATCGTTTTATGCCATTTCGCTTTGTATTGACGGCAACATTATTTGTCCTTGCCAATTTTGGCTTAGCACTACAGCAATATTCAATCGGACATGCGATTGATACGCTAAAACACAGCCAACCTGAAAGTTTATTTCAACATGCTTTTACAGATCCGTTAAATCCGTGGTTTTGGTTTATTCTACTGACGAGTATCGCTTTACTTCGTGCCATTATTCAATATTTAGCGGGTTTAAGTGCCTTGACGATTGGACAGCAATTGTTAAGTATTTTAAGAGAAAGAATCTTTAGCCAGGTCCAGCATTTAGATGTTTCATGGCACTGGAAACACGGATTAGGTGAAGTTTTATCAAGAACCACCCGAGATTCAGATAAATTAAAAGAAGCTTTAATTAATTTTTGGCGACAAGTGTTTGAATCCAGTCTAGTGGTCGCCGCAACAGTTGGATTGTTGTGTTGGTATCATCCTTGGTTGGGGATCGTCCCGCTTATTTTTATTTTTCTAGGCCTAGCTGTGCTGTTTAAACTGACTAATCAGTTGGTGGTGCTGGATCATCAAGTTGCCTATGCCTATGAAAAAGTCAGTGATACTTTGGCTGAAAGCGTCAATGGCATTCGAGTGGTCAAAGCCTTTCAACTTGAGGAAAAGCTCTTACAACGTTTTAATGCTGCGGTTGATAGCTTTATTCGTCATTCCATTCAAACTATTCGCACCAGTGCACAACGCTTACCGATTCCTCAAATGATTATTGCCTGTTCCTACTTATGGGTGATTGGGTTTGGTGGTTACTTAATTGGACAAAATCAATTACAGATTGGGCAATTTGTGGCTGCTGTACTTATGGCAAATTTATTGGTGTTTCGTATTGAAAGTATTGGACAGGTCTTACATATTTTTGCAGATGCACGTTCATCGGCAACTCGAATATGGCAAATGCTAGATGAGAAATCGGCAATTGTAGATGCTGCACATGCTTTGCCACTACAAGGGGATGCTGATGGGGATGAAGGTTTAAATATTCGACTGGAAAATGTCAGTTTTCAGGATCGAAGCACAGAAAAGTATATTTTAAAACAGTGTAATGTTGAATTCCGAGCAGGTGAAATCGTCACCATTGTAGGGAAAACTGGAGCGGGTAAAACCACACTGATGAACTTGCTCAATCGTTTTATCGATCCAACCGCAGGGCAGGTCTGGATTGGTTCAGATCAACGCGGTTGGCTCAATCTTAAAGATCTTAGTTTGGTTAACTTACGTCATATGGTTCAGATTATTCCGCAAGATAATTTCTTTTTCTCAGGAACTTTGGCGGATAACTTAAAAATAGCCAAACAGGATGCGACTGAACAGGAGATGCGAGACGCATTGCATTTGGCTTCAGCATCTGAACTGTTACAGCGACTCGATGCTGGTCTGGAGACACGAATAGGGGACAAGGGAGTCACCTTATCTGGAGGGCAAAAACAACGGATTGCACTGGCACGGTCAATTTTAAAAAACTCGCCAATCTTGGCGCTTGATGATTCAACCAGTGCTTTAGATTCCACTACAGAAAAACAGGTGTTACAGCGTTTATCAGGCTTGGCTGACAATAAAAATCAGCTCAAAAGAACCATTCTGATCAATTCAAATAAACAGACCACGATTTCTTTATCAGATCGCATTATCGTATTAGATCAGGGACAAATTCTTGCTCAAGGGAGCCACACAGAATTGCTCCAGCATTGCGTATTTTATCGGGAGTTGATGGGTTTTCAAAAAGCGCAACAGGAGATTCAAGCATGAATACCACGGTTAAAAATTTCCGTCCGCTGGCGAAAATCTCTGATCTGCAGATCGAAGAAAACTTAGCTAAAACCGCGCTACATCGCGGAATGTTAAAAAAACTCATTCCTTTGCTTTATCCGATTCGTTATTTAATTCTAGCCATGATCTCAGTAGAGATCTTACAAGTGCTGAGCATCTTTGTACGTCCATGGGCAGTCAAGTACATTTTAGATTCTGGATTTCAGCAAGTGGCTGGGAAACTGGTGTTGTATCAGCCAGTACTTTTTATAGCAATTGCTATTCTGGCATTCAGCTGGGTGTGTCGTTTTGGATTAGCGGGTATATCAAAATACTTGTCTGGAAAAGCGGCTTTAAGCGTCATTAATGATCTAAGACGTTCATTATTTCAACATATTCAAGCTTTAAATATTGGTTATTTTGATCGAACTAAAGCCGGCCGAATTATTTCACGAGCGGATCGTGATGTCGATACTTTAGAACCAGTATTGATACAAGGACCACCTGAACTACTTTCTGCGATTTTACGTTGCGGATTAGCATCTGTGCTTTTGTGGCATATCTATCCCCCATTTTTCTGGTGTTTATTTGCAACTTTGCCGATTTTATTGACAATGACTGCAATATTTAAAAAGTCATCACAACGGCATTGGGGACGGGTTGCCGAAGAACGCAGTCGATTTACTGCACATTTGGTTGAAACGGTAAATGGCGCCAAAATTATTCAGCAATTAAATTATAGTGAAACCAATCAACAGCGTTATCAGCAGCTCTTAAAAGATTTTAATGATTCTATTATTTATGGAAGTAAGCGGACCAGCTGGTTTGCCCCATTTACTGGATTGCTTTCGACAGTGGCAACCGCGGTTTTTATTGTGATTGGAAGTTATGCTTATAGTGAAGGTGTCATCAGTATTGGACAGTTTGCCGAAAGTATTTTTTACGTGTTTTTATTCTTGGCACCTTTACAGGAATTGACCGATTTATTTGAGCGTTATGCCAATGGTGCAGCGTGTGCACAACGGATATTTCTACTTTTAGATACCCAATCTAGCATTCAAGATGCACCACATGCGTTGAAATTAGGGCAACTTAACGGGCATATTCGTTTTCAGTCTGTACATTTTGCTTATACCACCAAAGCTGTTTTACAAAATTTTGATTTAGAGATCGACGCTGGAACGGTGGTTGCGATCGTAGGGCCTACAGGTCATGGTAAAAGCACGATCGTTCAGTTACTGACACGGTTTTATGAGCCTCAGCAGGGTGGGATTTTCTTAGACCGTTATCCGATACAGGATATTCATCTGGACAGTTTAAGACAAAATGTCAGTATTGTTTTACAGGACAATGTCTTGTTTAGCGGCACAATTTTAGACAATTTACGTTTAATTCAACCCGAAGCTACAGATCAACAACTGATTCAGGCGATTGAAGAACTTGGTGCAGATGATATTCTAGGACAGCTTCCTCATGGTTATTTTACTGAAGTTGGAACACTCGGAAAAAATTTAAGTCATGGGCAACGCCAACTTGTTTGTCTCGCACGTGCATATTTGGCTGATCCTAAAATTTTAATTTTAGATGAAGCGACCTCTGCGATTGATATTTATACGGAACAGAAAATCCAATATGCCCTTCGACGCTTATGTAAAAATAGAACCTGTATTGTGATCGCACATCGCTTAAGTACCATTCAAGAAGCAGACAAAATTGTGGTGATTGAGAATGGGGCTGTAGTGGAACAAGGTTCTCATGAACAACTGATTCAACAGCAACAATCTTACTATCAGTTGTATCAATCTTATTTACACAATCAACTTGTATAAGCTTATGCGCCACTAGCAAATCTGTGGTTTTATAAACATTTTTTCGAATCATTGTTTAAATATAAACAATGATTTTTTTATTTTTAATGACAAGTTTTTGATATTCAATAATAAAAATTTTGGCATTGGCTTTGCTATATCGGTGCAGATCGTTAAGGAAGCTTATATGCGTACATATTTTTCTCAATTCATTCTTCATTCTTCTGTTTTTGCGTTCAGTACACTTACCGCCTCAATCACTTTGGCAAATGAACAAAGGCCTGTATCAGAAAAAGAGGATGTCGTGACATTGCAATCAGTTGTTGTAACGGGTTCTCGGCGAGCTATCAATAGTGCTTTAGAGGCTCCTGCTCCAGTAGACATTGTGACAGCCAAAGAACTACAAGAAACAGGGGCAGGTGATCTTGCAGCTGCATTAACACGTTTATCGCCGTCAGTGAGTTTACCAACATCACCTGCGGGTGGTTTCGGTGCATCGGTACCGCCGAGTATTGCATTGCGAGGTTTATCTGCAGATCAAACCTTAATTTTGATCAATGGTAAACGTCGCCATACAGCGGCTTACTTCACTCGACAAGCGTATGCTGGGGGGAGAGGTGCTGCGGTAACAGATTTAAGCCTAATCCCGATTAGTGCCATTGAACGTATAGAGATTTTACGAGATGGTGCCGCAGCTCAATATGGTTCTGACGCGATCGCGGGCGTGGTTAACATTATATTGAAATCACGTGATCATGGTGGTGGCGTGAGTTATCAAACTGGAGGCTATACACAAGGGGATGGTGAACAGCATAAAATCAATCTTTGGAAAGGCTTTGAATTACCCAATGATGGTGCTTTAACTGTTGCCGTAGATTTAGGAAAGCGTGAAGCTGCAAGTAATACTGCACCAGATACGCGAACATTTTATGATGGTTCAACCCAAGCCCAATATACCGAGCAGAACACACCATTTAGAACTTGGAAATTTGGTTCTCCTGAACAAAAAGACCAAATCAATATCACTGCGAATTTAGATTTACCTTTAACTGATGAAATTGCCTTGTATGGTTTTAGTAGTTATGGGCATCGTAAGACCATCGGGGAAAATTTTTATGAACCTCCAACCACCAAAACAGTACTGAATCAATCCAGTTATTTTAAGCAACGTTATCCTGATGGACGCTCACCTTTGAGTTTAGTCAGTGTGGATGATTTTGCGACCACGTTTGGGGTTAAACAAGGCAACCAGACTTCAGGAAAATATGACCTGTATGCCACTTATGGACAAAACAAAGTCAGCACTGAACAAGGCAATGGCATTAACCCAAGTTATGGTGCAGATTCACCTTCTCATTATGATTTAGGGGAAAACATTTTTGCCCAACTCAATACAGGACTGGACTATAGTCGTGATTTTGCAATTGATGGTTTAGCCAGTCCATTGACTGTTTCGACGGGAGCGCTATACCGTTGGGAACAATATAAACAAAATGCAGGCGACCCGATTGCTTATACCCGTGGACCCTATTTTAATCCAAGTACGGCTTTAGGTACGGGTATCCCAGGTATATACGCGGGTATTACAGATCAAGACCAACGCAAAATTAGTCGAGATGTGTACGGCATTTATTTGGATCTCGAAGCCGATATTGTAAAAGATTTAAATGTTGGTGCTGCTATTCGAACAGAAAAATATTCAGACTTTGGTTCGACAACCAACGGCAAACTCTTTGCCAAATATGATATATCTCCGCAGTTGACTCTTCGTGGATCTGTCAATACAGGTTATCGCGCACCGTCATTAGCCCAGCAAGGATACTCCGCTTATAGTGTACAAACGGTGCAAACTCCGACAGGTTGGCAAGATGTACAGCAAAGGACTTTAGTTGCGGGAAGTGAAGCGGCTTTACTGATTGGTGGAACTTCACTAAAGCCTGAGAAATCGACCAATTATTCTTTAGGTTTGGTACTCAAACCATTTATCAATACCTCTGCAACTTTAGATCTTTATCAAATCGATATTCGAAATCGTATTTTACTTTCTGACAATATTACTGGCAGCGTGATCAATAATGCTTTTGCAAATACGCCGTATGCAAATATTGCCAATGTGGCGTTTTTTAATAATTTATTAGATACGCAAACACGTGGTTTGGAGTTCGCATTAAAACATGATCTTGATCTTGAACAATATGGCAAGTTAAAGCTGAATTTAGGCTTGGCTTATCATAAAAATAAAATCACTGACAGCCGAGACTCAATCACTGCAAAAGGTGAGCGAATTCCAGTCTCTAGTATTGCTGGTCGAAATACCCAAAGCCTAATTGAATCTACAGCGCCAAAAACCAAATTAGCATTGGGGGCACTTTGGTCAAATCAAGCGTGGAGTATCAATGCCGCAGTCCGTCGTTATGATAAATGGACTACTTTAAATAATACCAATACTTCATTGGATCAGACCTTTGATCCGCAATGGATTGCTGATTTGGACTTTGGCTACAAAGCAGATGCGTGGGTAAAAGGGCTAAAATTCAATCTGGGCGCAAATAATTTATTTAACAGTTACCCAGACAAAGCCAAAGACTCATCTGTAGGGAACATCGTCAAATACAGTTTTAATGCGCCAGAAGGTGCCTTTGGAACGTATTTATATGGCCGTGTAAGTTACGACTTTTAAATTAAAAAATAAATTTTTAAAACAGTTTTTAAATAGGTTTCAAGGTCATGAAAATGCAAAATACTTTTATATCTAATGTGGTTAAATCCGTTTTTGTCGCAAGCATACTAACGTCTGCTGGAATGGCAAATGCCCAGCAAGCCCCACAGCCTGAAGATCGTTATGGGGATGGACGTGTTTCAGCATTTTATACATGGAAAGCTGCGATTCCAGAACAAGCTGGAAAACTCTTAAAGACAGAGGACATCAGCAACCCTTATATCCGTTTGGACAATGATAGTACGGCCATTCGTATTTTATATAGTTCAACAAGTGGAAGGGATAGTAAGACCCCCATTGTGGTTTCTGGGACAGTACATCTTCCTAAAGGTACGCCACCGAAAGAAGGTTGGCCTGTTGTGTTATGGGCACATGGTACGGTTGGTCTAGCAGATGCCTGCGCACCTTCTTGGAATGGACGATCTTATCGAGATGTACAATATTTAAATCGATGGTTAAAAGAAGGATTCGCTGTAGTAGCAACTGACTATGAAGGACTTGGTGTGGCTGGCCCGCACTTGCTGATCAATAATCCAATGCTTGCTTATAGTATTTTAGACAGCGGTCGAGCTGCGCTTAAAACGAAATTACCTCTAGCAAATCGTTTTGTTATTGTGGGGCAATCTCAAGGTGGGGCGGGGGCTGTTTCAGCTTCAGCTTATTCAGCAACCTATGCACCAGAGTTAAATATTAAAGGATCTATTGGCACAGGGGTGATTTATCAGGACCCCGAGGCAACAGCTGAAAAGAATCAGTTAAAGTTAAATCCTTATGAAGTCAGTCCATCCTTAGCATATGGTATTTATAGTTTTTTAGTGACGCAAAGCTTATTTCCTGAAATCAAAACTGAAGATATTTTTACCGCTGAAGCAGTGCCTTTGGTGGAACAAGCAAGAAATGCCTGTTTGACCAGTTTTATGGGAGATATTCAAACAGCAGGACTTTCACCTGCGCAAGCCTATAAGGCGAATCCACCATCGATCTATAAAAAATTACAGGAAAAACAATCCAATGATTATGGCTATTACCCGATCTTAAAAATCAATCATCCATTATTTATTGGCACTGGGGCAAATGATCGTACACCAGATGCACGTAATCAAATGAAGTTGGTGGCGGATGCATGTAAGGCAGGTACAGTCGTTGAAGGGCATTTGTATCATGGATTGGGACATAGTGAGACAGTGAATGCTTCCCTACAAGATTCTATTCCATTTGCCAAAAAGGTGATTGCAGGGGAGAAGATTCAGTCCATTTGCAAACCAGATTTACAATAGAAAATCAGAAGAAAATAACCATCCCTCATAATGATGCTCATGGTTATGACAAGACCTTAAATTAGCAAGCAATAAAAACCGCTCATTCAATCCGATTAAATGAGCGGTTTTTATTTAGCTTGAGGACTTAGGCAATCTGTTTGTTTCGCTTGGCCGCCTCAGCTCGTACCGCAGGAATAATATAACGACCATAGTCCACAGTATCGTAAATTGGATCATAACCACGATTTAAAAAGGTGGTAACGCCCAGATCTACATAATCAAGTAATGCGGCAATAATCGTATCAGGCGTTCCGACAAGGGCGGTGGTATCACCATAGGCCCCAACTGCGCTTGCAGTTGGCATCCATAAGGCTCGGTCATGGCGATCACCTTGTTGTGCTGCTGCCAGTAACCGTTGTGAACCTACGCCTTTAATTTTATGTCCCGAAAGTGAGCCATTATTTTGGAACGTTGGATTTTGCTGAATATCAGCTAAAATTTGTTGTGCTCGTTGCCATGCGAGTTGTTCTGTTGGCCCAATAATAAGACGTACTGATAAACTGACCTGCGGCTGGGGTTTATTGGCTGCTTCTGCTGCCTTTTTAAGTTTATTTATCTGCTCTTTCACGCCCGCTAAAGGCTCACCCCAAAGCGAGTAAAGATCTGCATGACGCACTGCGATATCGTAGGCAATATCCGAAGAACCACCGAATGAAATCGGAATAGAAGTTCCATTGACCGGTTTTAAAGGGCAGAAAGCATTTTCCAGTTTAAAGTATTTGCCTTCATAGTGAATCGGTTGCTCACTTTTCCAAAGCTTTTGGATGATATCTAGATATTCACCCGTGCGTTCATAACGTTGAATTTTATCAACAATATAATCACCTTCTTGCGGTTCAGCGGTAATTCCCGTAATGGCATGTAAACGAATGCGTCCTCCGCCAGTGGTATGGTCCAGTGTGGCAAAGGAACGTGCAGCCAGATTAGGCGTCATCAGCGCAGGGCGATGTGCAATCATAAATCCAAGTCGTTCAGTCTGTTGTGCCAGATAAGCTGCGATTTGGGTACTATCAGGGCTACTTGGTCCATTGGCGATTAAAACTTTATCAAAACCTGCATATTCATGTGCACGAGCATGATAGCGTAAATATTCGAGATCAATTTTATGACCAATTCGGGTTCCTTTGGTTTCAGACCATTGATTTGGAAAAACCATACCCACAAACTCTATGCTCATCATTTAACCTATGCTGTAAATTTTAAATAAAAGAGCAAAATAGGTGCCAAATAGAGAGGGGAGATAAAATATATAATTTTTCAAAAATATTATTGTAAGCTGTTTATATATGATCAATTGACAGACATATTGTTTAAAAAGCAACATTGCATAAAAATAGAAATATATTGATTATAAATGCATAAGCAAAAACGCCTATTAAATCATTCAATATATAAATTTAGGATTAAATATCTGTAATTATTATTTATCAGCTTTGTAATAGAATTGTACTATTCTATTTTAATATCCTCCTCAGCTATTTAAAGGGTTAATTATGAAATCCTATTTGGATAATGATTATAAAGTAATTACCTTGCCTGATAATGGTGTGCCAATTAAGCCAATAAGAGCAAAAGCGATTATATTTTCTGATCAAAACTCTCGTAAGCTATTAAGCCAAGTTGAAACCATTGCACCAAGTTCTGCCAGTGTGATCATCCAAGGTGAATCAGGTACAGGTAAAGAATTAATCGCACGTGAAATTCATTTGAAAAGTGATCGCCAAAATAAGCCGTTTCTTGCTGTCAATTGTGGTGCTTTAGTTGAAACACTTGCAGAATCTGAATTGTTTGGTTATGAAGCAGGCGCATTTACGGGTGCGCATAAGACACGCCCTGGTATTTTTGAAACAGCCGACGGCGGAACTTTGTTCTTGGATGAAGTGGGTGAGTTGCCGTTGTCTTTGCAAGTAAAACTGTTACGTGTATTGCAAGAAAAGGAAGTTGTTCGGGTCGGTGGACGTAAACCGATCCCGATTAATGTACGCATCTTGTCTGGTACACATGTTGATTTGCGTAAAGCTGTCGCGGAAAATAAATTCCGTTTAGATTTATACTATCGCCTAAATGTGGTTGTGCTAAATATTTTACCATTGCGAGAGCGTAAGGGTGACATTTTGCCTTTGGTGGATTTTTTCTTAAACTCCTATTCGCAAAAGATGATTACGCCGAAACCCAACATCAGTGATCGCGCCAGAAATGCACTACTCAACTATAGTTGGCCGGGAAATATCCGTGAGCTTGAAAATAATATCCATTATGCACTGCTCATCAGTGGTGGCAAAACCATTGATATTGAACATTTAAGGTTTTCAGAGGAGGGTGGCTCAAGCGTTTTACCAGATAATGATTTGATTCAAGAGTTTGAGGATGTACTCAAGCGTTTATTTCAAGAATATGATGGTGAAGCATGGCACATCATTGAAGATAAAATCGTCAATACCGCTTTTTCAAGTTGCTGGAATAATCAGGTTAAGACTGCAAAAATGTTAGGACTGTCGCGCAATGTTTTACGTAATTTGTTATCAAGATATAATTTATTACCAAATAAAAATGAAATTGTTTAATTGGGCTGTGCAATAGAAACATCCATTTTACCCATGGATGTTTTATTTTGGGCTGGTCATTTTTGTGATCCATAAACCAAGTTCAAACAAAAGCCACATTGGTACTGCCAGTGCAAGCATGCTAAAAATATCAGGGGGTGTAATAAACATTGCGATAAAGAAAAACAAAACAATGATGTGTTTACGGTAATGTTCCAATTGTTGAATAGAAAGAATACCAATAAAAATAAGAATATAGGTGAGTACAGGGATTTGAAAGGCGATACCAAAAGCCAGAAAAAGCTTGAGACAGAAATCAAGATAACTGTTGATATCAGTCATCGGTAAAACATTATCTGGTGAAGCTAAGACAAAGAAGTTTAACGCCAAAGGCAGAATCAAATAATAGGCAAATAATAGGCCAAGATAAAATAAACCGATGCTGGAGAGCACAAGCGCCATGCCAAATTTTCTTTCACTTTGATATAGAGCAGGTGCAATAAAGCGCCAGAATTGATAAAGAATAAAGGGAATCGCCAATAAAATTGCAAAATAAATATTGAGTTTAAAGGGCGCTAAAAATGTACTCATCACATCTGTAGCTATCATGGTTGAATTTTTAGGCAATCGGGATATTAAGGGTTGAGCCAAAAAATGATAATTGTGTTGTGCAAGGGGCAATAATAGTAAAAAAATAGTTAAGACTGTAGCAATGCTATAGATCAAACGCTTTCTAAGCTCTTTTAAATGTTCGCTATATTTCATTTCAGTGAGTGTTTCACTGAGTATTTGTTCGGTCATGCAGCTTGATCCTCACGCAAGATATTGGATGATGTTGTGTAAATTAAAAAGGGTACTTTTAATTCACGCGCAGAGATTTGATAAACATAATCATGTGTGGGATAAGGAGGCGCTTGATGTGCTATAGCAACAGCGCTATGTACACTTTGGATTTCGTGTTGCATTTGTGCAAGCTGCTGTTTGAGCAGCTCTTCATTTTGTTTTATTTTGAGCAGCTCTTCTTGCATGATCCTTTTTAGTTCAAGCAATTCCAGTTCATTTTCTAACTCTAGCTGGATTTTGTTAAGATTATTTTTAAGGGCTCTATATTTAAGTAATCCCACCCTTAATGTTTGAGGGAGCTTTTCAGGTCCCAATATAATCAGTGCAATAACAGCAAAAGCCAAGAGTTCACCAAAACTGATATTGAACATAATGATTTAGTACTCACCCGTTAGTGTTTTTTTCTTTATTTAAATCGAGATGATGAATTTCTTTAGGCTGATTTGTTTCAGACAGTTTTTGATCATCAGAATGAACCGAGTCTTTAAAATCTTTAATTGCACCACCTAAATCCTTACCTAAGTTTTTAAGTTTTGATGTACCAAATAATAAAATAACGATCACGGCAAATAATAATATATGCCAAATTGATAAACCCATTTCATATTTCCTTAATAATTTAAAACTAGTTGGTATAAATATCATGCTTGAATATATTTTCTAAATAATATTTATATCGATGAATATTCGATTTCATTATGCGCTATGGTCCAGCATATTGAGTGCTTGATTACGATAGTTAAATAATAATTCGCTGTCTTTATGTCTTGGATGGGTCAAAGGAACTTGAATGATTTCTTTAATTTTTCCTGGTCGAGCAGACATTACGATCACGCGATCACCCAGATAAACCGCTTCTTCTATATCATGTGTAACTAGAATCATGGTGATCTTTTGATCTTGCCAAATACGTTGTAATTCAGTTTGCAGATGGCTACGTGTAATTGCATCTAAAGCACCAAAGGGTTCATCTAAAAGTAAAATATCAGGCTGATTAACCAAGCCTCGTGCAATCGCTACCCGCTGCGCCATACCACCCGATAGCTCATGTGGATAAGCATTTTCAAAACCTTTTAAACCCACCATTGTAAGATGTTCTGCCACACGGGCATTTTTTTCGGCACGGCTTAAGTCGGTTTCTTCGAGCGCTAAATGAATATTTTCGGAAACACTGAGCCAAGGCAATAGACGGTGCTCCTGAAAAATTAAACCTCGTTTTAAATCTGTCCCTTGTATTGGTGTTTGATTCAGTAAAATCTCACCTTGATAGTCTTTATCTAATCCTGCAATTAAGCGCAACAAGGTCGATTTACCACAGCCACTGCTTCCGACAATAGAAATAAATTCTCCTTGTTGAATATCGAGATGAATACCATCTAATACGGTGAAAGTTTGTTGATCTCGATAAAATGATTTATTGAGTTTTTTAATCGAGAGTAAGGAAAAGCTCATATCAATATCCTGATGAGATGGGTGATTCAGTTAAACACGCCATTGCAGTAGTCGTTTAGAAATCAAGTGAATACAAAGCGTCATGCCAATACCGCTGAGGGTGACCGTGATTGCACACACCAACAAAATATCCATTTCGGCATTGATTTCAGCTTTCATCATTAAATTGCCTAAGCCTGCACCAGCATTGAATAACAGCTCACTGGCAGTTGTGGTAATCCATGTAAAAGGCACCGCTAAATTCAACCCCGTTAAAATATATGGGAGAGCTTGAGGGAAACGGATTTTTTTAAATTCCTGCCAAAAAGATAATTTGTAAATACGAGCGACTTCACTGTATTTCTGGTCATAATGACTTAGCCCTTGAAAGCTGTTAATCACCATCGGGAAAAAAGAAGCAAGCGCAATAATAAAGATTTTTGCCTGCTCACCATTGCCAAACCACAGTGCAATCAATGGGGTTAAACCAAGTAAGGGTACTTGGCGAATGCTATTAAATAATGGTGAAACCAAGGCATTTAAAATTTTTGAATAGGCAAGTAAGGCACCGAGTAGTAGCCCTGTTGTCGAGCCAAGTAAAAACCCCAGTCCAGCTTTTTTAAGACTTCCCCATGTGTTTAACCATAATTCACCTGTTTCAAGCAGCTGAATAAAAGCAAAATACACCTTCTGTAAAGGCACAAATGCATAGGCATGACTGGCGCCTAAACTTGAATTGTATTGCCATAAAGCCAGTAAAAGGAGCGGTAGCAGCAGACCTTTGATCAAGATCAGTGGTTGCGCAAAAGCACTTTTTAAGTTCAGTGGATGCTGTGACATTATTTCCCCCTTGAACTCAATGCAGGTGATACAAGATATTGTTCGAGCTGACGTAAAGTTTTATCTAAAGCAAAACCAATGATTCCTGTAATAAAAACTCCGACCATTACAACGTCTAAACGTAACATTTGTCGTCCGAGCTCCATCATTTGACCAATGCCAGTGCCTGCAGCAAGTAATTCAACGGCCACCAAAATCAACCAAGCACGACCTAGAGCAATCCGCAGTCCACTGATTAATGGTGGGAGGATGCAAGGGATGATGATGTATCTCAACCATGCTGGAGTTTTTAGTTTGTAGATCTGGCCCAATTCAATATATTTTTTAGGAATATTTCTAACAGCATCCGCTGTTGTGAGTGCGATTGGAAAAAAACAGGCTTTAATAATCAGTAAAATTTTAAATAGTTCACCAATGCCAAAAACCAAAATAAAAATAGGAATAAGCACAAAGATTGGAATTTGATAAAGGATATTGAACAAAATATAGGTGTAATTTCGGAAAGAGGTGAGGGATGCATAGGCAATGCCAAACAAAATCGCACAGGTGGCCGCAATTGAAAAACCCATCAGCAGTCGAGAAAGGCTATCTTTTAAATGCAGTTGTAGTTCACCACTTTGCAACAAGGCAAGAAATGTCTGCCATACCGTTATAGGTGGTACTAAAATTTGGGTTGGAAAAATCTGTAAATAGCTAATCAATTGCCAAACCAGTAACGCCAAGATGGGTGAAAGGAATGAGAGCAAGCGATAGACCTGCTCAGAAGACAATCGCCTCCATAATGGTGCTTTGATCGCCACGATTTTTTTTTCGATAAGCGGATTTACGAGGATTTTCATGACCTAGTTTCCTTGCTTATGTTGAATATCAAGTGTTTGTAAATTTTGAATGGCTTGACTGGTAAACTGAGCATTGAGCAACTCTTCAGCTTTGATTGGCGTTTGAATCAATTGGTTTTTTACAGCATGGTCGATGACTTTTGCATAATGTTGTTTAAGAAAATCCACTTGGTACTCAGGTGACCAATCTTGTTGCCAGTTACTGCTGGTATTTTGACTTTCGCGTTGAATCACACTTAGAGGCTGACCAAATTTGGTTTGGCTTTGTTGGAATTCATCTTGATGCTGTGAAATCCACTGCATTGCCCGTACTGTCGCATCAGCAAGTAGTTGGGTTGTGTCTGGATGTTGATCCAGATAAGTCTTGCGTCCCCATAGTTCAGCACGCATTTTCCAGTCAGCGGGTAGACTTTGCGATGACCAAATAATTTTGCCAAGATGGCGATCTTGTAAAGTGAGCGCATCACTTAAGGTAAAAAATGCATCGACGCTTTTAGCGGATAAAGCAGCAGCTCCCGCCTGTGGATTGAGATTGATGATTTGAAAATCTTTAAGCTTTAAACCTTTGCTCTGTATCAATTGAGCAAAATTAATTTCCCAAGGACGACCACGATGTAAGGCAATCTTTTTACCTTTGAGGTCCTCAATGGTTTTGATGGGTGAATCCGCTGGAACCACCAAATAAACATTATTACCGACTCCGCCAGGGACGACAATTTGTGTTCTAACACCAGTGGCATTGAGTACTACCGCAGGAAGATTGCCATAAAAAGCAAAATCAATTTTATTGTTGATAAAGCTTTCATTGACTAAGGTGGCCACAGCCGCAGTGGTTACAGGTTCCCACTTTAATTCAATATTTTTCTGCTTTAATGCTTTTAGAAAAATGGGGTCCTGTGCAATAAGTTGTGGTACACCAATAAAGTCCAGACCGCCAGAAGTTCCATTGGCCACAACCGCAATACGAAGCTGTTGTTGACTGGTTTTACTTTGGTTTGGATCTTCGGTTTTGTGTACGCCACAAGCAACCAATCCTAAAAGACTAAAACTTAAAAAAAGACCAGAAAAAATACGCATATCATCATAAAAATCTAGAAATATAAGGGGATAGAGCAAGAACCAAGCCAAAATAATTATTTTATATAAATCAGTTTGTTATGTTTTTATGATTGGTGTTATTTGAATGGATCAAACAGGTTATGTTGTGAAACCGACAGTATTGGATGGATAAGTGTTGAAATTTCAACACCATGTTTAGCTGGGTTTTTATAATATTTAGATAAAACAACAATATAGATGAATTCAATATTGAATAAAAAACGGCATGGTTTCTGCTCATGAGTTGTATCACTCACGATAGCGTGTAAAACCTTTAAATTATTGAGAAGTATTATGTCTGTTGAATTTTTATGGAGAATCCCTGTGCATGGGGATGGTCGTCGAGCACATCAGTTACATACACGAGGTGAATGGAACCAGCTGAGCCCAGCAGTACAATCCCCTCAACGTGTGGCACCTCAACATCAAGATGAATTGTTTGCCTACTATGATTATGTACAACAGGTAGCAAAAGCCGCAGATATCGTGGGTTTTCACGGCGCATTGATTCCTGCTTTTCCACATACTGAAGAACCGTGGGTGCTGGCATCGGCATTGGCAAGAGAAACCAAAAGACTCCGACTATTGATTGCGATTCAACCTTGGTTTATCCATCCTGCATACGCAAGCCAAATGGCAGCAAGTTTGCAGCGTCTCAGTCAGGGACGGGTTGAATGGAACGTGATCTCAGGTGGCGGTGGGGCACAGCAACGTGCCTATGGTGATTTTATTGAACATGATCAGCGCTATGCGCGAACCAATGAATTTTTAGAGTTTGTAAAAGGGTATTCGCATCAGGCACCTTTTGACTATGATGGAAAGTTTTTCCACGTTGAACAAGGTGGTTTGAAATACCCAATGAATCAATATGACGTTCCTCGTTTGTGGTTAGCGGGAGCAAGTCCAGCGGCACTGCAAGTTGCAGGTCGGCATGCCGATATCCATTTAACATGGGGGGAACCTGTTGAACAGCAGAAAAAAGTGATTGAACAGGCGCGATCCTTCCTTGCACAAAATACCCCAGACCATAAGGTAAAGTTTGGTATGCGTATTGATATTTTGGCACGCCCCACACAGGAACAAGCGTTTCAAGAACTTAAACAGATGTATGAAACCATCGCTGTTGATGGCAATGCATTTGAACGTAAAGATACTGAGTCGGTTGGTGCAAAACGTCAGCAGGCCTTAGCACAAGGCAATCGTTTTGAAGACTTATTTGTCAGTCCAAATGTTTGGGCTGGTATGTCAAATGTAAGGGGTGGTCCAAACTGTATTTTAGTGGGGAGCTATGAACAAGTGGCACAGCGCTTACAAGAATATATCGACATTGGTGTTGGGCATTTTATTCTCGCCAGTAACCCACATTTGGAAGAAGCATATCGGGTTGCTGAAGAAGTCTTACCCTTGGTTGGATATAAATTAAAATAATAAGTTTAGATCCCTTTGAGATATCAGAGGGATCTTGTTGTTTCAACAGCATAGAACTGTCTTAAAACCAACAGCTTTGCTGACAAATCGAAGAGTGTTTTTAATTAAATTTATAAAAATTAGTGGCTTATATTGTTGGCATGACTTGTGCAATTTTCAATACAGTATTTTATTTTTTAGTTTAAATTGCCATGAGTGAACGAATATTTAATCCCCATCAGCGGGCGTTGCTATTTGGGCAATATGCATCTGCTTCAACTGCAACTGGCATATCAGACCCATTTACACGACATCATTTGGATGTGAGTCAATCACCTCCAGCAAAATTGAATAAATTGTGGATCGCGATCATTGCGGTTGCTGCAGCACATTTGGGTATTTGGTATATCGCAAAACAATTACCGACACCAGCTTTGGACATTGCAAAGCCAGAACCCGTGGTGATTGAAATTGTCAAACCAGTGGAACCACCTAAAGTCATTGAACCTAAAATTCCACCAGTGACGCAAAAACCCAAAATTCCGCCTGTGGTCGAAAAACCAAAACCGATTGCGAAACCTATCGAACAGCCGAAACCTGTTCAAAAAACTGTGGAGCAAGCCAAACCGATTGTAAAACCCATTGCGCAAGACACAGTTCAAAAAACTGAGGAACCTGTTGTAAGCAAAAAACTGAGTACTGAACCTGCTCCAAAAACAGCAGAACCAGTGAAGCCTGCTGATGACAATTTACCTGTGACAGAAGCCAAGGGTTATGCAGGTTATCTAAGCAACCCCGCAGCAGAGTATCCAGAACAGGCCTTAGAACGTGGTTGGGAAGGCTCGGTGATTTTAAGGGTCAAAGTATTGCCAAACGGTAGCCCAGATAGCGTAACGGTCAAACAAAGTAGCGGCAAAAAACTTTTAGACAGCGCGGCTGTAAGAACAGTAAAGCAATGGAAATTTTCACCGGCCTTAAAAGGTAAAACACCTGTCGAAGGTTGGGTTGATGTTCCAATTCATTATCAATTACCGAAATAAACTATTTTAAATTAAGAGGATATCTACATGACAGACATAAATTCATTGATCCATGACGGCACAATCTGGTTATTGGTTACTTTCTCCATCGTCACATGGGTGTTGATCGTGGTTAAAGTGGTACAGACACAGAAAGCCAGCAAGCAAAGTAAGGTCTTTGTCGAAGCCTTTTGGAAAGCCAAAAATTTGCCTGAGGCAGTGACTCAATCACAACAAGGTGAAGGTCCTACAGCCCGTGTTGCAAATGCCGGTTTTCAAACCTTGATTGAGGCAGATGAAAAGACTCATCAAGATTTGCAAAACAGTTGGAGTCGGCAGGATTTATTAGAGCGTCATTTACGCAAGCAAATTTTAACTGAACGTCGTCAATTGGAAAAAGGTTCTGCATTATTGGCTTCGATTGGCAATAACGCACCGTTCATTGGACTATTTGGAACAGTGTTTGGGATTATTCATGCTTTACAGGCCATTGCACATTCAGGTAATGCAAGTATGGATGTGGTTGCAGGGCCAATTGGTGAGGCCTTGATTGCTACAGGTATTGGTATTGCTGTGGCGGTACCCGCTGTGTTGGCTTATAACTATTTCATACGTAAAGTTAAAACCATCGGTGCAGACCTCGATGATTTTGCTACTGATTTTGTCAGTTTAAATCAAAAAGCGGGCTTTCAGTTACCTGTCGCTAAGCCAAAAAATACCACTGGAAATACTGTAGTCAATCATGATGCATCCAGTAAAGAAGTCAAAGAAAAAGGAGTGTTTGCATAATGGCCGTTTCAACCTCCCAAGAAGATGATGTGGTGAGTGAAATTAACATTACGCCATTGGTTGATGTGATGCTGGTTTTACTCATCGTGTTTATCGTTACAGCACCCCTGTTAACCAATACCGTGAAAGTAAATTTACCCAAGGCTGCACCGACGCAGTCAACGGATCAGAATAAAGCGGTTGTCATTAGTGTTAATCCGCAAGGAGAAATCTTCCTTGACAAGGATAAAGTAACTTTGGCAAGTTTTGAAAAAGAGATTCAGTCACGTAAAAACAGTAACCCTAAATTGGCTTTGAATTTAAATGCCGATGAGACCATTCCTTATGGAACAGTTGCAAAATTACTTGCCAGTATTGAGCGAGTAGGGGTAGAAAAATTATCTGTGATTACCGTACCCAAGTAGTCTTTGGATGCTGAATGAAATAGCTGCTACGGCAGCTTTTTTAGTGCCTAAAAATATGAGTAGTTAAAATAAAAACAGCGTTCAAATTTTATTGCTTTGTATAAGCATGATTTATATAAGCCTGATTTTTATAAACTGAATGTGTCTAAAATGAATGTGTTATTCACGATTTTGATCAGCAACATTAAGGTCGTTGTGTTGGGCAGCAATAGACGGGATGTACCATCAGAGCCCCATATTGGATTGACTTTTCGTCCTTGAAAAGTCAGAAGATCGCTGACTACAGCAGATGCTTGATGGTGTTAAGGCTCTGTAAATTTTATTTTAGGCTTGATTGTTCCATAATTTCTCAAAACGCCACGTTGGGAAAATAGTGTGTTCTGCAGCTAATCCTCCAATCTGTTTCGATGCAGCATCTATGCTATGGCTAAAACCCCAAATCAGCATTCCACCGCGTTCATGTTGAATTTTTTGTGCCTGAGCCAAATACACTTTACGTTTGGCTAAATCGGGTTCAGCCAGTGCTTTATAAAACAGCTCACTATATTCTGGGTCTTTAAAGTTGACACGATTGGTTGTTGAAATTGGCGCATCATTCACTACAGCAGTGGATAAATACGGTGTACCCACGTTGGTTGCATTACTGGAGAATTGCCATTTACTTCGATCAGGTCCATTAAAGGTAGCTAAATCAACTTGTTTGACCCGAATACTGACATTGGCTTTCTTTGCTTGTTCTGCAAATATCAGGGCAGGTTGGGCGTTGCCAACGGGGGTAATCAGTTCAACGCTTAAGCCATCTTTAAAGCCCGCTTGAGCCAATAAGTTCTTGGCTTCTGTAATGTCTTGTTGACGTTGTGGCAAATTTAGAAATGCTGGATCCTGTGGAGAATATAGATCATTGGCGATGCGTCCCTGACCGTTTAAACCCCGTTGTATCAGCTCTTGACGATCGGCGATTAAACGAAATGCTTGGCGGACTTTGGGATCATTAAATGGTGCCTGTTGAGTATTAAAGTCAAAACTATTGTGGGTATTGGTTTGAGAACGAACCGTTTGAATATGTTTTGCTTGCTCTAAAATTTTAATGTATTCAGGTGAAATCGCATTTGCAAGATCAATTTGTCCTGCCAATAATGCATTTAGTCGAGAAACTTGATCTTTAAAGTCAATTACTTCAAAACGATCTGCATAAGGCCGATCTGCTTTAAAATAGTTTTCAAACCGAGTAAAGACTGAACGTTGACCGGGGATAAATTCTTTGACTTTATAAGGACCTGCGCCCACAGGGTTATGAATGGGATCAAAATCAGTGGGGACAATACCGCCAAAATTGACCCAAGTTTCAGGCAGCGCCACAAAGCCAGCAATTGAACTAATAAAAGGGATGCGTACTGTATATTGATCTAATTTTTGGATACGATCACGATCAATCCATTGCACAAGATTCCGAAAAGGTGAGGCAAGCTTTGGATCTGTTAATCGTTGCAATGAAAAAATGACATCATCTGCGCTGACGGTTTTACCATGATGAAACTCTAAACCTTTACGCAGTCGTATGGTCCATTCGCTGGCATTATGATTAGGTTCTGCAAATTCAGCCAAAGCAAGACGAGGAAGCATGTTTTCGTCCCATTCCCAGAGCTTATTATAAATCGCAAATCCACGGGTAATCCCACTTCCTGAAGCTGAAAGGTGAGGGTCAAGGCTACCTGATTGTTGTCCACCAATCAGCCCTAATCGAATTGTTCCACCATGCTTAGGGGTACTGGAAAGTGAACTTTGGGAGTCAGCGCTAGGTTGTGGAGATTGTCCACAAGCAGATAAACCACTGATTAAAGAAACGCCACCGAGTGCAGTTAGACTTTGGGTTAAAAATTTTCGACGTGAGAGTAACAAGGTTTCATGTGTCATTAAAAATACTCAGTTAGAACGTATTCAGAGGAGATTGCACAATGAATGCCAATTCTTTTTTATATTTTTCTAATATTTATCAATTGATTATAAGCGTTGTGTTTTTTGTCACTGTTGCTTTTTCAGCATTTCTGTTGAAAAAATAAACATGAATAAAATCTGTATATCAATGAGGGCTATTTAAAAGTAATAAAAATCAATGTTTTATATTTGAGTTTTGCCTATTTAAAGATTGGCATAGGCTTTGCGTAACGCAGTGTAAATGTATTTTACTGAGTGTGATATGAAACAGAACTTTCAATTAAAGCCACTGGTGATTGCGCTAGGGCTATTTGGGGCAATCTTTCCATGCGCTATTTTTGCTGAAGAAACCTCAGAGCAAGCCAAGGATTCTAATGGTGATGTAATTACCTTAGCCGATGTTGTAGTGACAGGAGCAAATAAAAAAGCCACCATTCTCCCCAAGCGTAAAGTCACTTCGATTTATGGGACGGATAGTTCTGTATTAGATACCCCACGTGTCGTTTCACAAGTATCAGAACAACAGTTTCGTGAAGATGTTATTCGTAGTGCAGATGATTTGGTTAAGTATGCTCCAAGTATCACCAGAGGAGGTGGGCAAAATGCCAATTTCGCGCCACAGATACGAGGGCAAAACTCCGAAGTTTTTCAAGATAGCCAACGAATATACAGTACCCGACATCCGACCAACTTAAATGCCTATGAAGCTGCTGATATTGTTGCAGGACCAACGGGGGTAATTTTTGCACCGACGTCAGGTTCAGGGGGATATATTAATTATCTCACCAAAAAACCGAATTTTAATAAAGCACAAACCACGATTTCGGGATCAGTGGGTTCAATTTATGCAGGGCAAGGTGCTGAGCCTAATTTCTCAGTCAGTATTGATCATACTGCACCTATTTCTAAAGAATTGGCATTTCGAGTCAGTGCAACAGCACAACGAACAGATGACTATTATGACAATGTAAAAAATAATTTTAATGCATTTTATGGTGCTTTGGCTTGGCGTCCAGATGACAGTCTACGGGTTGACTGGAATATCAGTTATGACGATTATTCAGATTTTAATGTGACGCATGGTTGGAACAGAGCGACACAACAATCCGTTGATCAAGGGCTTTACTATAAAGGCAGAGCGACCCCGATTATTCAAAACGGTTCAAACTTTTGGTCTCCAGTCTTTGAGTCTGGTGCAGCTCACTCTAAAGTGATTGGTTGGCAAACTCGGCAGAAGAATGACAAAAATCAATATATTGCTGTAGGTCCAGTACAGACTTCTCCTTTGCCAAGCTCCACTGCTGATCAAGCGGGTACAATTCGAGGCTGGGTCTATGATCCATCAATCGCAGGCAATGGCTTAGTCAAATTAGATGATGATGTTTCTGGTCGGAGCGAAGATAAAAACAGTGCAAAGCGCTTTAGCACACAATTTAAACTGGTCAAAGATATCAATGAAAATTGGTCTGTGGCCAATAGTACGCTATATCAAAAGAGTCGTGATTTGGGTGATTCTGTTGGGAGTTTCTTTACCGATTTGGACCATGAATTATTGGATAACCGCTTAGAGTTTTTAGGCGATCATGACTTTGAGCTATTGGGTGTCAAAATCAACAATAAAAGCAGTACAGGTGGCGCTTATCGGCATGAGAAATTTACCTCTCTCGCAGCAAACAATAGTTTTAATATCAATCCTTATGATTTAACCAATGATCCATCACAGAAAAACCCGGGGGATTTATTGGGGTTGGTCAATCATGGCGGTTCGACTGGAAGCTGGATTGGGCAGGCTGGTGTTCCACAGTATTCGCAGTATTTTGGCTATTTAAATCTACCTCGAATGTACCCTGTGGGTCATGGCTTATATGCTGAAAAAGGCGGTTTTCCTCCCAATGGAGGTGGTGCAGTTTATACAGGAACAGGCTTTTGGGACACTTACAGCGTATTTACACAGCAAAATTTTACCTTTAATGATGTTTTTGGGATTAATCTGGGAATTAACCACAGTTCTATAAAAGCAAAATTAGAGAATCCACTGGTTTTAGTCCCTACAGATGTCCGCTCAGATTCCAATAAATATAGTTTGCTCAGCTATCAAGCCAGTACCTTTATTAAACCTACTGAAAAAAGTACCCTATATTTTACTTATGATAAAAGTACAGCTTTGAATACGGGTGTATTTGGTCCATTTTTAATTTGGGGCGCTGGAAATCAGCTAAATCCTTTGGCTTTTGACAGCCAAAGTGAATTAAAAGAAGTGGGAGTGAAATACGAGCCGATCACTGATCAACTTCTGCTAACGCTCAGTGGTTTTGAACAGAAGCGCGATTTATCACCTGATACCAATGGCAATATGGCGCGTTTTGAAATCAAAGGCCTTGAATCATCATTACGTTGGCAGCTACAAAAAAATATCGCGATCGGGGCAAACTTAACCTATCTCAATGCTGAATATTCTTCCATTATTCCGGCTGGTTTTTCACCTTTTGGTTTCCATGCAGACAATGCGACGGTATGGGGCGATAGCAATGCTTTAAACCAACGCAAAGCAGGACGTTATGATGCAGCAGGCATTCCTAAATATTCTGCAAGTGCTTATGTGGACTATCAGCACCAGTCAGGTTTTGGACTAAACTTATCGGGCTGGTGGACAAGTAACTGGTATACCAATCTAAGTCAGACCGTAAAGGTACCCAATAATTATAATTTAGATTTGGGACTTTATTATCGTCAACCGCAGTGGACAGTAGGCTTAAATATTCTTAATTTGACCAATGAGCGTAATTTCGTAAATGGTTTAGCTGGTGCAAATAGCGAGTTTTTACAGCCAATGCGTCCATTGACGGTACAAGGACAATTTAGCTATAAATTCTAAATTAAACAGATTTTTATTTTTGATTGCATTAGCCATACTTTTGTATGGCTTTTTTATAAATTTATTCTTAGTAGATATCATTAAAAATAAAAAACAGCAAAATGTTGAAATAACAACAATACGACAATCAGAAATGTCTATCTATCAGCAAAAATAAATATTTTTTTTATGATTTTTTATATAACACTTTGAAAATATTTAAATAAATAGAATGGCACAAAAGTTGCCAATAACAAGAATAGATTTATTTAAATGGAGTCACCATGTTTAAGGTTACAAAAATTAGGCAGAGTATTTTAACTGCTATGTGGGGCGTAACGGCGAGTGTTTCAACACTGGCTATTGCAAATGAAGAGATCGAGACTACACCAGCACAACAGGCACAGGTTGAAAAAGCCAAAGATGTCAAAAAATTAAGTGATGTGATCGTCACTGCACAATATCGGGCGCAAAATATTCAAAAAGTTCCAACTGCAATTACTGCTGTTTCGGGTAAGGACTTGGCTGCGAAAGGTTCTACTTTTATTGGGGATGTTTTAACCTATACACCAAATGCTGCAGCTGAAAACCCAGATGGGGATAGTCGTCCACGTTGGTATATTCGTGGTCTAGGTACGGGAGATGTGGCTGCATCGACAGTATTTCCTGTTGGCGTTTATGCAGATGGGGTTTATTTAAATGCGCCAGTTGCAGGTGCAGGTGACTTGTTTGATTTAGAGCGTATAGAAGTTTTACGTGGTCCACAAGGTACGCTCTATGGGAAAAACACCACCGCGGGTGCAGTCAATTATATTTCTAAAAAGCCTAATTTTTCAGATAAACCCAATGGATATGCAACCATTGGTTTAGGGGATCATAACCTACGAACATTTGAAGGCGCAGCAAACGGTAAAATTTCAGAAAATGTTGCGGTTCGTGGGGCTTTTTACTCTGAAGATCGTGACGGATATGCAAAGAATATTGCCAATGGTGAAGATTATGGCAACGTGGATAAAAAATCTTTTCGCTTCCAAGTGCTAGGGAAAATCAATGATGAATGGGATGCCTTGGTCAATCTACACAGCCAAACTTATAATGGTTTAGGCAGTAATGGTTCCTTAAGCGTGGGTAAATACTGGGGTATTTATGAAAGACCTAAAGGACGAGACACCAATTTAGATTTAGATGAAAACAATAAGATTCAGCATGATGGCGCGTCATTAACCTTAACTGGAGATTTGGGGGGCGGATATAGCTTTACTTCGATCACTGCTTTTGATAAGACCACACAAAAGTCGATTTCAGATGGTGATTACACCCCTTATGATGTCGCACGAAGCTATAGTGATAATGAATGGCGTCAATATAGCCAAGAGTTCCGCATCGCTTCTGATGCTGAAAAACGCTTAAGCTGGATTGCAGGATTTCATTATTTCAATGAGGATTTAGATTCCACTGGAGTCAGTGCACGTGTCAATAAAACATTGCCAAATGGCGCTGCTTCTCAAACTGCGTCTACGCCAGCATTTAGAGATATAACCTATAACCAAGCCACTCAAAGCTTTGCACTTTTTGGTAACAGTACCTATAAATTTACAGATAAATTTAAAGTGACAGGTGGTTTACGTTGGACCAGTGAAGAAAAAGATATTGATCTCAATCTGACTCAGATCACAACGGGAGACTATACAAAAGGCAGTTGGTGGAAAAAAGATGGCTATAGCAATGCAGTTTATAACCCAACTCCAAATGCAAATGGGTCAACAAGTCGCAATAAAACTTGGAATGAGTTGACCTATGACATCACCCCAGAATATGAAATTAATCCTAATTTAAATACTTATTTTAGATTCGCACGCGGTTTCCGCTCAGGTGGATTTAACACTGGTTTATCCAGCAGTTTAACCCAACTTGCCGACGTGAATCCTGAATACTTAAATAGTTATGAACTTGGTTTAAAGTCTACGTTATTGGACGGAGATTTAATCGCAAATGCCAATATTTTTTATTATGACTATAAAGATATTCAAACCAATTTACTGGTTGCAACAGAGGGACAAGGTGGTGGGGTGACCTCGGTTCTCGCCAATGGACCAAAAGCTGAAGTTAAAGGTGCTGAATTAGAATTAGATTATTCAGTGACTGAAAATCTACGTTTACGTTTTGCTGGTGCTTATCTTGACAGCGAATATACCGATTTCGTCGATAAAAACCCGGTAACCAATGTAGTTAATGCAGATAATACAGGCAACAGTCTAGTCCGTTCGCCAAAATACACTGTCGGTCTGGGTGGAGAATATACCTTTAATCTCAATGATGGTGCTCGTGTTGTTGTAGGTACAGATGCCAGCTACAGTGACCGTGAGTTTTTCCTCGTAAACCGTCAAGACTATTCGGTAGATCCAATCTTAAGCCAAAAAGCATATACCTTATGGAATGCCAATGTTGGCTACCATAGCGCAAATAACAAATACCAAGTCAATGCTTACGTTAAAAACCTATTGAATGAAGAATATCAAGTACATGGCCGTCCAAATGGTCCCGCTGGACAATATGTTTTAACTTATGGAAACCCACGTCAAGTTGGTGTTTCTCTTACTGCTAAATTCTAAGTTATACGGAGAACATCATGGGAATTGAATTTTTTACCCGTCTACCACTGCATGGTGAAGCAGAGTACTTAGCAGGTGATCCACGCAATCGTGGTGATTGGTCACGTGTCGCAGGTGTAGACAATACTGGTGCAACATCGAATTACCAAGTTGGTGATGACTTTACCTATATCGACTATCTTAGCCAAGTGGCTCGTGCGGCTGAAATCAATGGTTTTGCAGGTGCGCTGATGGTGAATGCACCTACAGGTGAAGAACCGTGGACAGTGTGTTCCTTATTGGCAAGAGAAACCAAGCGTTTAAACTTTGTGACTGCATTCCAGCCTTATCATTTTAGTCCTTATAATGCAGTACAAAGTGCAGCAACGTATCAGCGTGCCACAGGGAATCGGTTGGTTTGGAATATTATCAACGGCGGCTCTGAGGTTATTCAGCGCCAAGTTGGGGATGTTACTCCGCATGATGACCGTTATATCCGTGCGACTGAATTTTTAGATGTGGTGAAAGGCTATTGGTATAATGAATCATTCCATTACCAGGGCAAATATTATTCTGCTGAAGGTGGTGGTTTAAAATATCCCCTCAATAAAGCTGAACTACCGATCATTTGTACGGCAGGATCGTCTGAGGCTGCCCGTGAGTTTGGTGCGAAGCATGCTGATTATTATTTAATGCGTGCTGAAAAACCCAGTGAAATTGCTGAATTGATTGCAGATGTGCGCAAACGTGCTGCGAGATATGGGCGGGATAATATTAAATTCGGCTTATCCATTGATACGATTGCACGCCGTAGTGAACAAGAAGCGTTGGCAGAGGCACAACGTTATTTGGATGAAGCTGCTGAAAAACAACGCTTACATGCGTCTGCTGCACATGCAGGTTTGAGATCGGCACGTGTATTGAGTTTTGAAAAAGAATATAGTGAAAAAGCAGGCAGTAAAAACGTCGATGATTTCTTTATTCATCCCAATGTTTGGTCAGGCTTTGGCTATATTGGTATTCCACCAGGTGTTGCTTTAGTGGGAAGTTATTCGCAGATTATCGAGCGGATTCAAGAATATAACAGTATTGGGATTGATCTGTTTTTCTTGGCGGGCTATCCACATTTAGAAGAAGCTTATCGCCTTGGCGAACATGTTTTACCTTATTTCAAAAAACAGCGTCAGGCATTACAGCGTATTTCTGAAGAGGCAAAATATCGTATCGCCTAACTTCCATTGCAACAGGTTAAAGCCAAGATTTTTAAACCAGTCTTGGCTTTTTATATCCATTTTTATCTTAATAAAAATACTGTGGACTGTAATTGAAGCTTTGAACAGAAAACCTGTAATGGTTTAAATCATGTAACGACATAAAGCCTCAACAATCCTATATAAAAAAATAAAGCTGTTTTCTTTCAATAATAAATCCTGATATTTGTGTATTTTTATTTTTTATAGATTTACATTTCTGCTATCAGAAAATCACCAAAAGCATTGACCTTAAAGTTAACTTTAACCTTAGTATAGAATGACGGTCCATACGAATCGTATCAAACATTGTAATTTACTGACATGAATGAGAACAGCAATAAGTTATTCAAAGTGTAAATCATACACAGGAGAAATTAACATGGCATATGTTACGACAAAAGATGGTGTTGATATTTTTTATAAAGATTGGGGACCGAAAGATGCCCCAGTATTATTTTTTCATCATGGATGGCCATTAAGCTCGGATGACTGGGATTCTCAGTTATTGTTCTTTTTAAATGAAGGTTTTCGTGTGGTTGCACATGATCGTCGCGGACATGGACGTTCAAGTCAGGTCTGGGATGGTCATGATATGGACCACTATGCCGATGATGTTGCAGAAGTGGTCAAACACTTGGGCATTAAAAACGCAGTACATATTGGTCACTCCACTGGTGGTGGTGAGGTTGTTCACTACATTGCACGTCATGGCGAGGAAAATGTATCCAAGGCCGTATTGGTCAGTGCTGTACCTCCAATTATGCTGAAAACGGAAAAAAATCCGCAAGGTTTAGCCAAAGAAGTCTTTGATGACTTACAGAATCAGCTTTTTAAAAATCGTGCTCAATTTTATCATGATCTACCTGCGGGACCGTTTTATGGTTTTAACCGACCAGATGCTCAGCCTTCAGAACCCGTGGTATTGAATTGGTGGCGACAGGGCATGATGGGTGGAGCAAAAGCGCATTATGATGGAATTGTTGCATTTTCACAGACTGACTTTACCGAAGATTTGAAAAAAATCTCAGTGCCTGTTTTAGTCATGCATGGGGATGATGATCAAATTGTACCTTATGAAAACTCAGGGGTACTTTCTGCCAAACTGGTTCAAAATGGCCGATTAAAAACCTATAAAGGTTATTCACACGGTATGTTAACCGTCAATGCCGATGTGATTAATCCAGATTTATTGGCCTTTATTCGCGAGTGAATAGTTGTCGTTTGATTTAAAAACAGAATATCAATAGAGGCCTTGCGGCCTCTTTTTTTATTAAAGTATCAGATCGTTATTATCTTATTATGATGTAAGTCTTTGAATAAAATTAGTTCTTAAAATAATAAAAATTAAATGCGAAAAAAGGATTGACATTAAAGTGAACTTTAATCTTAAAGTAAGTCCATACTCCATGAGGCTATAAAAATGAACGTCTTTGAAAAATTAGTTTTACCCAATGGTACTCAGATTCCAAATCGTATTGCAAAAGCTGCGATGGAAGAGAATATGGCAGATCTCAATCATGCACCATCAGAAGAGCTCATGCGTTTGTATCAGGCATGGGCAGATGGTGGTGTTGGTTTAATCATTACAGGTAATGTGATGGTGGATCGTCGTGCGATGACAGGACCGGGTGGTGTGGTCTTGGAAGATGAACAGCATTTAGCGCACTTCAAACGTTGGGCGAAAATCGCACGTTCTCAAGGCGCGCAAGCATGGTTGCAGATCAACCATCCGGGCCGCCAAATGCAGTCAAATTTAGGTCAGCCAACGTGGGCACCCTCTGCTGTGGCTTTAGATTTAGGTAAAATGTCAGATCGTTTTAATACTCCAATTGAAATGACTCAAGCCATGATTGACGAAGTGATTCAACGTTTTGCCAATACCGCACGTTTAGGTGAAAAGGCGGGATTTACTGGTGTAGAAATTCATGCAGCTCATGGCTATCTACTCAGTCAGTTCCTTTCGCCTTTAAGCAACCAACGTCAAGATCAATGGGGCGGCTCATTGGAAAACCGTGCGCGTATTTTGATTGAGATTGTCAAAGCAGTACGTGCAGTGGTGTCATCAACATTTACAGTTGCTGTTAAACTGAATTCTGCCGATTTCCAACGTGGTGGTTTTAGTGCTGAGGATGCGCAGCAAGTAGTTAAAATGTTAAATGATTTGTCGGTTGATTTGGTTGAGTTGTCAGGGGGGAGTTATGAAGCACCTGCTATGCAAGGCCAAGCCAGAGATGGACGGACTTTGGCGCGTGAAGCTTATTTCTTAGAATTTGCTCAAGAAATTGGCAAGGTTGCCCATATGCCGATTATGGTGACTGGTGGTATTCGTCGCAAACCCATTGCAGAACAAGTCATTGACAGTGGGATCGATATGGTGGGGATTGCAACAGCCTTAGCAATCGACCCTAACTTACCCAATGCATGGAAACAAGGTCAGAATATCGCACCTGAATTGAAACCGATTCACTGGGAAAATAAAACCTTAGCTTCACTTGCCAATATGGCAACAGTCAAATTCCAGTTACAGAAACTTAGTCATGGGAAAAAATCGAATCCTAAGGTTTCACCTTTATGGGCATTGATATTACAGCAGACAGAAACGACATGCCGCACACGTCAGTATAAAAAACGTATGCGTCAGTATTCACATTCAGCTTAAGTACAGTGCTTTGTTCAGATGTCGGATTAGATCTGACAGACTGTACTGCGGCTGTGGCTCAAAGAGGATTTCCCTAATGCTTAGGTATGATCACTGATTAAAGTAATGATGAGAATACTGATCAAGCAGTTTTGACGACTCCAATGTTTGAGCATCATAGATAATTTATCAATGACTTATGCACAATTCTGAGCTTAAAGTGAGATTTAAGCTCAATCGCTTTTATGATTTTCCGATAACATGGAAATTTTTAACATTTATCATTGGCATAATAAAGATTCAGTAAACGGTTGGCGTTTTCTTCACAGGTGATTTCGTCAGGCTTACTATTGATTGCAGTGATCATGCTGCGTAGGTTTTGCTTACTGATCAACAACTTTTGTTCTAGATCTTCAATGTCTTTGATTTTACTTTCGAGTAGTCCAATCAGAATATCATGATCCCACTTGCCTACATTTGACGGTAGAAAGGCTTTGATTTCAGCCAATGAAAATCCAACTTGTTGCGCTTGCTGAATTAGAAATAATTGTTTGAGGTCATTGTCACTATATTCACGATAACCATTAGATTTACGTTTTGCCTTAGGAAGCAGTTTAATTTGTTCATAATAACGAATCGTTGGGGTACTTAAACCACTTTGTTTGGATAACTCGCTAATGTTCATTTTACTGACTTCCGCTTGACATTAAAGTTAACTTTAGACTTATACTCAAGCAAAAGCAAGATGAAAAATAACGTTAAAGCTGAGCTCAATCAGGTTTAAACGAATATTGGGAGTCCTTTCGATGTAAATTCTCTCATTGAATTAAAATCATGAGAACATTTCACGATAAATGATATTTAAACTTAAAAATGATCCATTTAAATATCAAAGGTTTGGAATAAATTCATGCCATTTATTCGTTACTTGCTATTTTAACGATTAATTTCAAGTTGTTGTCCCTGACAATTCAAAAACAGCTGTTGTTGATGCCAAGCAAGTTGCCCCGAAACAATTGTGGTGCTGACCTCATAAGCAAATGTTTTATGCATAAATGGTGTCCAATTGCATTTCATATAGTTTTTTTGATCTTTCACTGCAATGTGCTGTTGATTTTCTCGAAGGATCACTAAATCAGCCCAGTAACCTTCTCGAATATAACCACGGTCTTTGATCCTAAATAAGTCTGCCACTTGATGTGCAGTTTTTTGAACCAGTGTTTCAATACTCAGTTTACCTGCTGCAACCAGCTCCATCAGTGCAGGTAACGCATGTTGTACTAAAGGCAGGCCAGAAGGGGCATAAAAATATGACTGGTGTTTTTCATCCCAAGTATGTGGGGCGTGGTCAGTACCAATAATATCCAAGCGATTACTATTCGAAAGGGCATTAATCAAAGCATCTTTATCTTGCTGGGTTTTAATGGCGGGATTACATTTAATTAAGTGGCCCAAAGTAGCATAATCAGCATCATCAAAACTGAGATGATGGATACACACTTCTGCTGTGATATGTTTTCGATTTAAAGGCAGATTTTTAAACAAACACAGTTCTTTCGCGGTGGTGATATGTAAAACATGCAACTGTGTGGCATATTTCTCGGCCAAAGATACAGCTAATTTTGAGCTATCAAAGCAGACATGTTTATTTCTAATCTGCGCATGAATTTCTGCTGGAATATTTTCCCCATATTTTTGAAAATAGAAATTTTCTTCGGCTTTAATGGCAGGGTTAAACTCGCAATGGGTCAATAAAACTGTTGGAACATTTGCAAATAAACGTTCCAAAACTTTAGGGTCATCGACGAGCATATCACCCGTAGAAGCACCCATAAAAACTTTAACACCACTGATTGATTTGGGATCAAGCTGTTCAATAATATCTAAATTATGCGCACTGACTCCAAAATGGAAAGCATAATTGGCCCGACTATGTTGTTTTGCAATCTGCTTTTTCTGGGTCAAAGCGTCTAGAGTTAAGGTGGCTGGATTGGTGTTTGGCATATCCATATAGCTGGTGATTCCACCAATCGTTGCTGCCATTGATTCCGAAGCAATATTGCCTTTATGCGCTGCGCCGGGATCTCGAAAATGAACTTGGTCGTCAATCATGCCAGGAATTAACCACGAACCTTCAGCATCTATATTTTTCGCATGATAAGCCCCTGTAATATTGGGATGAATCTTTTCAATCCGACCATGTCGAATCAGTACATCGGAATAATACTGCTTGCCTTCATTGACAATATTGGCATTACGAATAATAAGATTGGGCGAATTTTTAAAACTCATTGTGCAATGCCTTATAGCCTTGAACCAGTTTAATATTGGTGCTGACAACGCTTTCTGAAAACTCACTGATTGAAATATCAATGGGTGGAAATTGCTTTAAATCGGTTTTGGGATTGATATAACTCATTGCAGGTACATAAAAATGATCGGGTAAATCACGACCATCAACCACTGCATTGTGACGAATCGCGCTGTGATGACCCACAGTGCAATTAAATAACACACTGTTAAAGCCAACAAAAACATGATGTCCAATTTCACAGGGACCATGAATAATAGAGCGATGCGCGATTGAAGAATTTTCACCAATGATCACTGCTGCCCCCGCTTTGGAATGAATCACCACTCCATCTTGAATATTGGAATTTGCACCAATGATGATGGGTTCCATATCACCCGCGTCATTGGTTTCATCTGCTCTGATCACTGCATAAGGCCCAATAAATACATTGGCATGGATAATGACTTTTCCGCAAATAATCGCTGTTTGGTCGACATAGGCTGATTGATCGATAACAGGGAGATCTCCAGATGGGTTTTTTCTAAGCATGACTAGACCATTTTAAATAAGTTAAACAATGAGGGTGGTTAGGATAAGGCATTACCATTGCCAAGCGCCCTGAGCAACTGCGTCATGGGCATGTAAACTTTCCGCATGAATCACTTTAAAATTAAAGCCTAGAATGCTGGGATGATGGATAAATGTGGCATACAAGCGTCTTAATGCATCTTCACAAAACATCAGGTTTTGACCATTCGCAATAGCAAAGGCTTGTTCATCAATACGTTTTACCGCTGTTTGTACGGGTGTCATCAAGGCTTGTTCAGCCTGATTAATAAATAAAATCAGTGGGATATACTGAATGTTTTGATCTAATTTGAAATTTAACTGAGCAAAACTTCTTTGGCTGTGAGGCGTTGCTGCAATTGCATCTGTGCTATTTAGCCAACTGAGGATTTCTTGTGGGTCTAAATGAATCTCATGATTTTCCAATGCGGTTGCAAATCTTTGTTGGATGATGTTTCTGGCAAGTGCTGCGGAACAAGGACAAGTAGATGAATAGGGAATTTCGATTTTTAATTCAGCATAAAAATCATCTTTTAAAAGCTGACAGGACAACACAAAAGGATAGCTTTTCCAGCCAGACAATTGGCTGACTAAGGCTGGGCGCTCGATATAAAGCTCACTATGAATTTCGATTTTGGCATGCGCTGATAAATCTTTATGGCTGGCTAAGAAATCCAATAAAGCGTCTTTAATATCAAGTAGCGCTAAATTTTTGATCGTGCTCAATTTCAAAAGTCGGGTATACAAGCGCGACATATGAATACCTTTGGCAAACACATCATCCAAACTGACATAAGCATTCACTTGGCTTTGACAAAGACTATTTTCGAGATAAAGCGGAAGCGCGATTTTCTCCATACCGACCCAATCGAGTGGGTAGTAATAGTTTCTTGTGAGTGAGGATTCAGCCGAAACATCTGGAAGAACAAGATTCATAGGGGGAATAGCTTAAGTTGAAATACATATTGTTATGTTATAACATAACAATATTAATCAACACTACTCATCTGAGTTAAATTTACGCTATGAGATCATTGCAAATTGAGATGAACAAAAAATATTTGATCGGATTCATACTCTGCCTTTCTGCATGTAGTCAAAACAACTCAAATACAATTCATGCTATGCGTACAGTTCAGCAAACGTCACCACAAGTGCCATTAAAAGCAGACTTTCCTCAGCAGCAAGGTATTTTAAAACAAGAGAAAAATCTGCCGCCTGCTTATTTAAAATGGCTCAGTGAGCCGACAAATGCTGAAAGCGTTCAGGCTTATCAGCGCTTTTTAAAGCAACAAGGTATTTCTGCTTATATTCCTACTTTTGAATTTTTACAGACAGCCAGAGATTGGCAACAATGTGATGCATCTGAATTTGAAGTTCCGCCACAAGAGCTGTGGGGCAATATTGTGCCAACATTAAAAATTTTAAATCGTCTTGTGGATGAAAAAATTTTAACCCAGTTTAGCGTGACTTCTGTCTATCGAAATTTCAAGCTTAATCAGTGTGCAAAAGGCGCTCCTTCCTCCAAACATATTTTTAATGCTGCATTAGATTTTCGTATTGGTGATGAAAATCCGGACTTAAACCAACAGCTGATGATTCAAGAGCGCAAAGCAAAATTATGTCAATTTTGGCTGGATTCTGGTGAGGAACTTCACATGGGCTTAGGCGTCTATGCATCAGGACAGATTCATATTGATAGTGCAGGTTTTCGTACTTGGGGTGCAGACCATCGCTATAGCTCATCACCATGTATCAATAACGCTTTAATTGGCAACAATAAAAAAGTGAGTGAATCGCCATGAAGTTAAATTTCATCCGTGACATCAGACAACTTTTAATACGAGAAATTCAAGCGACACATGTTTATCTGCCACTAAACAATCTAAATTCTGATGTTTTTTAATCCTCAGCTTAGATTTATAGGATCTTGAAAAACGCTGTAATCATCACCGAATGATTAAAACCGAATCATCAAATTGCAGTGTTGAAAATGTATGTGCAAGCACAGCTAAAATTTAACTCTAAAGCGATCTGTTTGGAGTTATTCAGTCAGTATTTTCATGTCGATCTCGATATGAAAACACAAAAATATAAAGTGAGAATGCCAATGAATACTCTTTTAGCCACTCCGCAAAAACTTCCCGTCACCGTGCTTTCTGGATTCTTAGGGGCTGGAAAGACCACCTTACTCAATCATATCTTAAACAATCGTGAAGGCCGAAAAATTGCAGTGATTGTGAATGATATGTCGGAGGTCAATATTGATGCCGCTTTAGTTCGAGAGGGCGGTGCTGAGCTTTCAAGAACGGATGAAAAGTTAGTTGAAATGAGTAATGGCTGTATTTGTTGTACTTTAAGAGAAGACCTACTGGTTGAAGTACGTCGTTTAGCACAGGATCAGCGCTTTGATCAATTGGTGATTGAATCTACAGGGATCTCTGAACCACTCCCTGTTGCAGAAACGTTTACCTTTGAAGATGAAAATGGGATTTCTCTCAATGAGTTTGCCCGCTTAGATACAATGGTGACTGTGGTCGATGCTTATAACTTTTTAAAAGATTATAGTTCGCTGGATAGCTTACAAGCGCGCGGTGAATCATTAGGTGAACAAGATGAGCGAAATGTTGTTGATCTACTGATTGATCAAATTGAGTTTTGTGACGTGATTGTATTGAATAAAACAGATTTGATTGATCAAGACGAGCTGGAAAAATTATTTGGAATTTTGCAGTCTTTAAACCCAAGAGCAAAAATTGAAGTTTCTGCGTTTGGCAAGGTGAATCTTGATCGGGTGTTAAATACCCAACTATTTGATTTTAACGAAGCGGCACAAGCTCCGGGTTGGTTAAAGGAATTAAGAGGTGAGCATACGCCTGAAACAGAGCAATATGGAATCAATAATTTTGTTTATCGAGCGCGCAGACCTTTTCACCCACAACGGTTTTTTGATTTTATCAACTCCGAATGGAAAGGCGTAATCCGTTCCAAAGGCTTTTTTTGGTTAGCCTCAAATCCCGAGTTTGCTGGATCTTGGTCTCAAGCAGGGGTGATGGCACGCCATGGTGTTGCTGGATATTGGTGGGCAGCAGTGCCAGACGAACATTGGCCTACGGATCAACAAAGTCGAGATGCAATTCAACAAAGCTGGGATGCTCAAACAGGTGATGCACGACAAGAAATCGTGTTGATTGGGATGCAGATGGATCAATCTGAACTTATTCGTCAATTTGATGATTGTTTATTAAACGATGATGAAATGGCGTTAGGCGCAGAAAAATGGCAAGAGTTTGAAAATCCTTTTAGTGGGTGGACTGATTCTATCACTAGCCATTAATTCATTATGATCCATTTAATTCAGCCAAAGCATTGCTGAAAATACTTGCAAGCATGAGCGCTTTTAATTATACGCTCATGCTTGGCTTTATATTTTATTAAAATTTCGCTCTTAAGGTGAAAGTCACATTACGTGGTTCCCCCCAATAAACACCATTATAGAAACCTACATTTAAATAGTATTTTTCATCAAATAAGTTATTGATATTCACACTTGCAGTTAGTTCATCACTTAACTTATAACTGGCAAAAGCATTGGCCAATACATAGGCCTTTTGTGTGACTACACCATCGTTATAGGCATTTGCAGGAGCTCCCCCCCATTCTTGTGAGATTTCACTTTGCCAATTCAATCCACCACCTAATGTTAGCTTTTCTGAACCTGCCCAGAGGTTCGCTGGAAGGGTATAACTACTAAATAACTTTACTTGGTTTTGAGGAATATTGCTTAAAGCATCGGCATTTGCAGAACTCACACTATTGACATAAGTATAGCCAAAGCTAAGATTCCAATTTTCCTGTAACTTTCCAATGGCTTCTAACTCAAAGCCATTGACTTTAAGTCCTTTGCCCGATGACATATATGCAGTATCCATCTCATCTACTTTTGGAATAGTGCCATTTTTTACACCTTCACGATATTCAACATCTTCTACAGCAAGGTCTTTGACACTTGACCAAAATAAAGCAGCACTGGTCAATAACTTACCATCCAATAGATCTGCTTTAATCCCTAATTCTGTAGTGCTTCCCATTTCAGGATCTAGATAATCGCCGAAACGATCTCGTTTAGTGGATGGATTAAATACATTGGTGTAGCTAGTGTAGGCTGTATAAGTATCATTAATGTCGTACAAAATCCCTGCATAAGGCACCAATTGATCAAAGTTACGTGGCTTTGTAGGAGAAACCGGGGCTTTAGGATCCCATTTATCGACTTTGTAATCATATGAGCTATAACGTGCGCCCAAAATTAACTTAAGCGGGTCAGCTAGATTTAAACGTAAAGTTGAATATACCCCGTAAAGCTCTGTGGTATTGGTACTACCTGCACCATTTTTTTCATAAGTGGGTTTTTTAATATTGCCAGTCCATTCTCGATAATCTGGAATAGCTGCAGGATAAGGAGGTGGGGAGTCATTAAGATCACTTTTCACACCCAATGAAGTACTTTCACTTTTAAAACCACTATAACCAATGATTAAATCATGTTGGCGATTTAACAATTGAAATGGTCCTGTTGCATAAAGATCTAAATTGAGCTTTTTACTCTCAGCATAAGGGCTGACCATACTCCATAGACTTAAGCCTTTACCTGTGTTCGGGTCTGGAAAGCCACTACCACCATAAGCCACGATCCAACTATTATCCGAGGTACTGTGGGCAATCGCTGCTTTAACCAGCCAGTCATTGGTAAAAGTATGTTCAATATCGGCAAAAACGGTTTTATCGGTATTGGCAATTGAACTCCAGTCCGCAGATAAACTAAAGTTTCGCGAAAAATTTGCTTTGCTTCCATCAGCATTGAAATATGGTACTGTTCCCCACGTTGAGCCTTTAGGGTCGTTGTCTTGATATTGAAACCCGACTGAGGCTGTTGTTGTTCGGGTTAAATCTGCACTGATGATCCCCATTGCGGCTGTTGACTTGAGCTTATAACGATCCATATAGGATTCTTTATCGGTATACGCTGCCATGAATCGACTTCGAACACTGCCATCTTGAGTCAGTGGAATGGATACATCTGCTTCAACACGGGTATTGTCCCATGAGCCATAAGTTGAGCTGACATTGCCCTTAAACTCTTTTTCAGGACGCTTACGTACCATATTGATGGTTGCAGAAGGGCTGCCTGTTGAACCAGTTAAGCCAGAAGCACCTTTGATCACTTCAACTCGGTCAAAGAAAAAACTATCAAAGCGGGGAGCATTGTCTCCTACAGGCATACCATCAATTTGCCTATTGGTAATTTGAAAACCACGGGAATAGTAGTTAGAGCGTTCACTGTCATTTTTAGTGGCAGTAACGCCTGGTGTTGCGGCAAGAACATCATCCAGAATGGTCAGCCCGCGTTGTTCAATTTGTTCACGGGTGACGACGCTTACAGATTGTGGTGTTTCTTTTAAAGATAATTTTAATTTTGATGAGCTTCTTGAGGATTTTGCTTTAAAACTTCCACTTCCCTCAGTTTTTTCATCCTGAGCATCTGCTTTAACTGTAATGGTGGGGAGTACCGAAGCATTCGCTTCATTACTTTTTTGCTCTTGTGCAAAAGCACTATGGGAAATAGCGCTGCAAATAAGAATTGATTTTATTGCAATGTTTAATGCCGTTTGTTTACGTAGATTGTCCATAAGAATAGAAATTAGTAAATAAGAATCATTATTATTATCAATTAATATACAAAAAGATACAAATAAAACATAATTTTTAAACTTTTTTATGAATGATATAAATATAAGGTTTAGGTGGGGTTGTTGATTTAAGTGTATGATTTTAAATTATAAGTTTTTGGAAATTGGTGTTATGTTTGAGTATAAATTTACACTAATAAGCTGTAAAATAAGAAGCATATATTTTATTTATCACAATGATTAATTATTGACTGAGCCTTATCCTGATCTCGAATTGAAAGCTTATATCTTTTTCCATTGTCGGTTTTCTTCTGAGAAATTAACCAGAAACGAAACACCTGATTCATCACCAACAAGATATGAGGATGGATTCACCATCAGTACCTTTAATAAAGTCCCTGTTTCAATAGTAATTGGTTCTAAATCATCTTTATTTAAGGTAACGGGTTGGAGTAATTCAATGATTTCCACTTTTATACTAACCTATTGTTTGAACATAAAATTCTATAAATAATTATTGCACAGCGCAAAGCGCTTTGCTGAGATACAGCGTTAAAAAACGCAACATTGATAGGTCTTTATGTAGCCTAAGCATTTTTAAAGTTTCACTGTTGTATAAGGCTAAGTTTTCTCTCAGCGGAAAACTTAGCCTTATACAGTTTTAAATTTTATAAAGTAATCGTTGCACCAAGCGCTTTAACAAATTGGGCTAACCAAGCAGGATGTGCTGGCCATGCTGGCGCTGTTACCAGGTGTCCATCTGTGACTGCTTCAGTGACTGCAATATCTGCATATTGCCCGCCTGCAAGTTTAACTTCTGCGGCACATGCAGGATAAGCGGAACATAAGCGTCCTTTTAATACATCGGCTGCGGCAAGCAGTTGCGCACCATGGCAAACAGCGGCAATTGGTTTTTTAATCGCATCAAACTCGCGAACAATTTCGATTACTCGATCATTCATACGTAAATATTCAGGTGCACGACCACCCGGAATCACTAATCCAACGTAGTTTTCGCTGTTGACTTGGTTAAAGTCATAGTTAATTGCAAAGTTGTGACCACGCTTTTCGCTATAGGTTTGCTCACCTTCAAAATCATGAATCGCTGTTGCTATTGTATCGCCAGTTTTTTTATCAGGGCAAACTGCATGAACGCTATAGCCCAATCCAGTGAGGAACTGAAAAGGAACCATGGTTTCATAATCTTCAACATAATCACCCACTAACATTAAAATTTGTTTAGACATTTTTACACCTTTTGTTCAAATTTTATGATTTATTTCATGTAAAATAACATGCTCTAGTTGCAGTTTTAAGTTGAATTTATACGGCTTTAGTCTTAATTTAACAGACCTAACTGTAATAAAAATTGTATTCAGTGATGAATGAGAAAAATATGAAAAAGTATCTATTGGGTTTAGTGATTGCGGCGGCTGCCATGAGTAGCCATGCTGCGGTAGAAGAAACAGTGTATAGAGGAATGGGCGAGGCATCTGCACAGTTTCCAAGCTTTAAAAAGATGCAAAAGCATGGGCTAATCAATAAAAAACCGGATATTTCAAGAAATGACTATAATGATGTATATAAATTAAAAAAACCGCTTCAATTTATGGGGCAAACGGTTGCACTGCTATCAGACGAATATATGACACAGTATGCTGGATGTTGTGTCAGTGAGGGTTGGGGAGCTGTTTTAGCTAAAAAGAGTGATATGAAACTCTTGACTCAATTTGCCAAAACCAACCAGTGTTCATTAAGCAAAGTAGAATCAGATACCAGTAATTATTATGGTTTTAAACTGAAAGCATTACCAACAGCAGAATATTATGAGCTTTCTTGTCGTGAACGTGATTTAGAAAACCCGCAGTAAAATAGATAAATTAAGCTATATAGAGCAGTCGCGATTTAAATCTCAGATTACATTATAAGTTCCCCCTCTTTGCTTTGTGTGATACACGGCATAGAGGGGGGAGATGTCTTGACTGAATTTTTATGAATGAACCTGCGTAGGTGGTCTTGATCAATATCTACAGAATTAAAGCACCTGTACCAGCACCAATCACCATTAACCAAACTGGGTGAACATTCTTAAACAGACTTAGACAAATGGTGATGGCGACGATTGCGATCAGTAAAATATTTTGAGCAGAGGCTTGGGCAATAATCCAAGCACTGACTAAAACCAAGCCGACTGTAATAGGTTTTAACGCCTTTTCAAATTTCGCCCGAAGCGGATGACTTTTAAAATTATTCCAAAATTTAAGTGCATAAATGGTGATGATTGAAGATGGACCAAACTTTGCAAAAGACGTCACGATCAATCCCATAGGCCCTGCGACATGCCATCCCACCAAGGGAACAATCATCATGTTTGGACCTGGTGCAGCTTGTGCCATTGCAAACATAGAGCTGAATTGCTCAGCAGTCATCCATTGGTGAATCACAACCACCTGATGTTGCATTTCAGGTAAGATGGCATTCCCGCCACCAAAGGCCAATAAAGACAGTTGAGTAAACACTAAAGTCAGTGCGATGAGAACATACATCTTATTTTACTCCTGAGTCACTTTAGTTTGATTAAATGCTAAAACTGCCATATTCACGGTGACTAAAATCAACAGCGTCAGTGCCAAGGGCAATTTAATCAACAGCATAAAAATAATGGTCAAGATAATGGTGAAATAGGTGAGCTTACTTTTCATGATTGGTTTTAACATCTTAAAACCTGTAGCAAACAGTAGACCCGCAGCAGCGGCAGCTAAACCTTGAATCATGTGCTGCACCATTGGGATATCTTGAAAACTGCTGTATAACTGGTACAACGAGATAACAATAATGGTCGGGGCCAGCATAAGACCAAATACCGCACTAATCGCACCTTTTACACCAGCAAAGTCATAACCAATTGCCACTGCCATATTTACAATATTTCCACCGGGTAAGATTTGGCAGACACCCAACAAGTCGGTAAATTTTTCAGATGTTAACCATTTCTGATCTTCTACAATTAAACGATGTGCTAGAGGGAGTACCCCACCAAATCCCATGAGGCCAAGTTTCATAAAGCCTAAAAATAATGCTTTGCAATTGGGTGTGGTCATGGATTGTTCCATTGGGATTGCTTCAGTATTCATTTAGACCTCTTCAATTTGCTGTGATGTACTTGGCTTGAATATGATTATCTGCTTGTTGAGTTATAAAGAAAAATGCTATTTTTGCTGTTATTCATACCTAAAAAGTATGCTTTAAACATGAATTAGCACGATAAAAATGAAAAGATCGATATTGAGGCGAAAAGATGATTGATATTCATAAGCTTAATGCGTTTGTGGCTGTGGTTGAGGAAAGTAATATTTCTCGAGCAGCGGTACGTCTGAATATGCAGCAACCGCCTTTAACACGGATTATCAAAAACTTAGAAGATGAATTAGACACAGATTTATTGAAGCGTTTACCGCGTGGCGTAGAAGCAACTGAAGCGGGTAAGGCCTTATACCAAGAGGCACTTACCATACTTGCGCATGCACAGGCTATTCCCAAACGCGTGCAAAATATTTCTAAAGGTTTGGAAGGGCAAATCAATATTGGTTTTACCAACTCAGTCGGTTTACATTCCTTTTTGCCTGCTTTACTGCGTAATTTTCGTGAAGTATTTTCAGCGGTATCTATTCATTTGGAAGAAGATGGCAGTAGCTCATTGATTGATTCGATTATCAATGAAAAGAATGACATCGTTTTTTTGCGTAAGCCTGCGCCGATTGGTTTGGGACTCACCAGTTTGCACGTACTTGATGAGCCTTTAATTGTGGCATTGCCCAATAACCATCCCTTAACCGAACATCCTGATGCCATCCAATTACTTGATTTAGAGCCTTATGATTTTGTACTGTATCGCCGTTTAGCAGGACAAGACTTGTTTGATAATATTTTGGCTAGCTGTTATCAGGCTGGATTTAGTCCAAAGATTGTTCAAGAAGCCCCACGTTTAACGTCGAGTTTAAATTTGATTGCAGCAGGGATTGGTTTGTCGATTGTTCCAGAGGCCATTCGAGATTTTTGGAACAAGCAAATTATTTACAAAGCGCTTAAAGCGGATACGCCGTGTATTGCACCAATTTATGCAGTCTATAAGCAGGATGCAGAAAATATCCGTTTAAAACATATTTTAAATTTGCTCGTTTAATTTATAGGTTGACTTGCTAAAGCTCCAACTAAATAAGTGGATTTATATATTTTGAATGTTTGAGCTGTTTTGGAATAATTTATGCTTTGAAACTCTATCTTTAAAACAAAATCAGTGAATCATTGCATTTTTGCTACACATAAAGCCTGAGCTTAAGATTACTATTATTGTTTTAAAATCAAACCTTAGAAATAGAATTGAGGATATCGCTTTGAAACTTGGATTTGTAAAAAGTGTTTTAGCATCTGCAATCATGTTGTCATCTGCACCAGTATGGGCTGAAACAACAGGGCAAATCACTCAAACCACTTCAGCTATTGTGAAAGATCAAAAAAAATCGGGGATTGATCATCAATATTTTGATCAAAATGTAAAAGGAAATGATGATTTTTATCAACATGTAAATGGAGGATGGTTGAAAAATACCGAAATTCCTGCAGATAAATCACGTTGGGGAACTTTTGATATTTTGCATGAAGAATCATTAAAACAATTGCATGATATTGTCGATGAGCTTTCAAAACAGCAATTGGTGGAAGGAAGTTCAGAGCAAAAAGTGGCAAGTCTATATGCCAATTTTATGGATGAAAAAAGTATTGAAGCATTGGGTATTCAGCCGATTCAAGCGGAAATTACCAATGTTGATGCATTGAAAAGCAAAAAAGATATTGCGCAATTGGCCGCACATTTTTCACGTATTGGTGTAACCAGCCCTTTTGATGTGGGTATTGACCAAGACATGAAAAACTCAACTGAAATGGTGGCAATGCTTGGGCAAAGTGGTTTAGGGTTACCTGATCGTGATTATTATTTAAAAAATGATGCCAAATTTAAGAAAATCCGTTCGCAATATCTAAAGTATATTGAAAAAACTTTAACCCTAGCTGGAGACAAGCAAGCCGCCCAGCATGCGCAAGGGATTTTAAAATTAGAAACGCAAATCGCCAAGATACAATGGAGTAATGTTCAAAACCGTGATGTAACAAAACTCTATAATATTTATAAAACGCAAGACTTAGCTAAACTTAGTCCAAAAATTGATTGGCAAACTTATCTAGAAAAACAAGAGTTGTCCGATAAGATTAAAACCATACAAGTCATTCAACCAAGTTACTTCAAAGGGTTAAGCCCAATTGTTGACAATACCTCACTAGAGGTTTGGAAAGCTTATTTTAAATTTCATTTAGTTAGTGATTTTTCATCATTGCTTAGTCAAGCTTTCGTAGACAATAGCTTTGATTTTTATAGCAAACAGCTCAGAGAAATTAAGGAGCAGAAACCACGTTGGAAGCGTGGTGTGCAATTGGTTGAGGGAACTTTAGGTGAAAGTTTGGGCCAAATTTATGTGAAAAAGTATTTTTCTGCTGAGAAAAAACAACGCATGGAAGTCTTGGTGCAAAACTTAATGAAAGCTTATTCTCAAAGCATAGACAAACTGGATTGGATGAGCCCAACCACGAAAGTTCAGGCGCAGAAAAAGTTAGCAAGTTTTGCGGTGAAAATTGGCTATCCAAACAAATGGCGTGATTATTCAGCTTTAGAAATCAAAAATAATGACTTGATTGGTAATGTGATCCGTTCACGTGAATTTGAACATCAATATGCCTTGAATAAATTGGGCAAGCCTGTTGATCGTGATGAATGGGGCATGACACCGCAAACCATCAATGCGTATTACAATGCTTCATTAAATGAAATTGTCTTTCCAGCAGCAATTTTACAACCTCCATTCTTTGATATGGATGCCGATGATGCGGTGAACTATGGTGCGATTGGTGCAATTATCGGACATGAGATCAGTCATGGCTTTGATGACCAAGGCAGTCAGTTTGATGAATTGGGCAATATGAAAAATTGGTGGACGGCAGAAGACCATCGAAAATTTAAAGAAAAAACCAATACATTGGTTGCTCAATATAACGCTTATGAGCCAATCAAAGGTTATCATGTCAATGGTGAGTTAACTTTAGGTGAAAATATTGCTGATAATTCTGGATTGGCAATTGCTTATAAAGCTTATCAACTGTCTTTAAATGGCAAGG